CACGTGCCCGAGCTGCACTCGTCAGTGAAGCAGGTATGTGTGTCTTAGCCAGTTTCAGGTTTATGCACTGCATGTCTTAAGTCACAGTTGTTCTTCACACACCGACTCACCACTCGCCTGCACGTGCCCGAGCTGCACTCGTCAGTGAAGCAGGTATGTGCGTCTTAGCCAGTTTCAGGTTTATGCACTGCATGTCTTAAGTCACAGTTGTTCTTCACACACCGACTCACCACTCGCCTGCACGTGCCCGAGCTGCACTCGTCAGTGAAGCAGGTATGTGCGTCTTAGCCAGTTTCAGGTTTATGCACTGCATGTCTTAAGTCACAGTTGTTCTTCACACACCGACTCACCACTCGCCTGCACGTGCCCGAGCTGCACTCGTCAGTGAAGCAGGTATGTGTGTCTTAGCCAGTTTCAGGTTTATGCACTGCATGTCTTAAGTCACAGTTGTTCTTCACACACCGACTCACCACTCGCCTGCACGTGCCCGAGCTGCACTCGTCAGTGAAGCAGGTATGTGCGTCTTAGCCAGTTTCAGGTTTATGCACTGCATGTCTTAAGTCACAGTTGTTCTTCACACACCGACTCACCACTCGCCTGCACGTGCCCGAGCTGCACTCGTCAGTGAAGCAGGTATGTGCGTCTTAGCCAGTTTCAGGTTTATGCACTGCATGTCTTAAGTCACAGTTGTTCTTCACACACCGACTCACCACTCGCCTGCACGTGCCCGAGCTGCACTCGTCAGTGAAGCAGGTATGTGCGTCTTAGCCAGTTTCAGGTTTATGCACTGCATGTCTTAAGTCACAGTTGTTCTTCACACACCGACTCACCACTCGCCTGCACGTGCCCGAGCTGCACTCGTCAGTGAAGCAGGTATGTGTGTCTTAGCCAGTTTCAGGTTTATGCACTGCATGTCTTAAGTCACAGTTGTTCTTCACACACCGACTCACCACTCGCCTGCACGTGCCCGAGCTGCACTCGTCAGTGAAGCAGGTATGTGCGTCTTAGCCAGTTTCAGGTTTATGCACTGCATGTCTCAAGTCACAGTTGTTCTTCACACACCGACTCACCACTCGCCTGCACGTGCCCGAGCTGCACTCGTCAGTGAAGCAGGTATGTGTGTCTTAGCCAGTTTCAGGTTTATGCACTGCATGTCTTAAGTCACAGTTGTTCTTCACACACCGACTCACCACTCGCCTGCACGTGCCCGAGCTGCACTCGTCAGTGAAGCAGGTATGTGCGTCTTAGCCAGTTTCAGGTTTATGCACTGCATGTCTCAAGTCACAGTTGTTCTTCACACACCGACTCACCACTCGCCTGCACGTGCCCGAGCTGCACTCGTCAGTGAAGCAGGTATGTGTGTCTTAGCCAGTTTCAGGTTTATGCACTGCATGTCTTAAGTCACAGTTGTTCTTCACACACCGACTCACCACTCGCCTGCACGTGCCCGAGCTGCACTCGTCAGTGAAGCAGGTATGTGCGTCTTAGCCAGTTTCAGGTTTATGCACTGCATGTCTCAAGTCACAGTTGTTCTTCACACACCGACTCACCACTCGCCTGCACGTGCCCGAGCTGCACTCGTCAGTGAAGCAGGTATGTGTGTCTTAGCCAGTTTCAGGTTTATGCACTGCATGTCTTAAGTCACAGTTGTTCTTCACACACCGACTCACCACTCGCCTGCACGTGCCCGAGCTGCACTCGTCAGTGAAGCAGGTATGTGTGTCTTAGCCAGTTTCAGGTTTATGCACTGCATGTCTTAAGTCACAGTTGTTCTTCACACACCGACTCACCACTCGCCTGCACGTGCCCGAGCTGCACTCGTCAGTGAAGCAGGTATGTGCGTCTTAGCCAGTTTCAGGTTTATGCACTGCATGTCTCAAGTCACAGTTGTTCTTCACACACCGACTCACCACTCGCCTGCACGTGCCCGAGCTGCACTCGTCAGTGAAGCAGGTATGTGTGTCTTAGCCAGTTTCAGGTTTATGCACTGCATGTCTTAAGTCACAGTTGTTCTTCACACACCGACTCACCACTCGCCTGCACGTGCCCGAGCTGCACTCGTCAGTGAAGCAGGTATGTGTGTCTTAGCCAGTTTCAGGTTTATGCACTGCATGTCTTAAGTCACAGTTGTTCTTCACACACCGACTCACCACTCGCCTGCACGTGCCCGAGCTGCACTCGTCAGTGAAGCAGGTATGTGTGTCTTAGCCAGTTTCAGGTTTATGCACTGCATGTCTTAAGTCACAGTTGTTCTTCACACACCGACTCACCACTCGCCTGCACGTGCCCGAGCTGCACTCGTCAGTGAAGCAGGTATGTGCGTCTTAGCCAGTTTCAGGTTTATGCACTGCATGTCTTAAGTCACAGTTGTTCTTCACACACCGACTCACCACTCGCCTGCACGTGCCCGAGCTGCACTCGTCAGTGAAGCAGGTATGTGTGTCTTAGCCAGTTTCAGGTTTATGCACTGCATGTCTTAAGTCACAGTTGTTCTTCACACACCGACTCACCACTCGCCTGCACGTGCCCGAGCTGCACTCGTCAGTGAAGCAGGTATGTGCGTCTTAGCCAGTTTCAGGTTTATGCACTGCATGTCTTAAGTCACAGTTGTTCTTCACACACCGACTCACCACTCGCCTGCACGTGCCCGAGCTGCACTCGTCAGTGAAGCAGGTATGTGTGTCTTAGCCAGTTTCAGGTTTATGCACTGCATGTCTTAAGTCACAGTTGTTCTTCACACACCGACTCACCACTCGCCTGCACGTGCCCGAGCTGCACTCGTCAGTGAAGCAGGTATGTGTGTCTTAGCCAGTTTCAGGTTTATGCACTGCATGTCTTAAGTCACAGTTGTTCTTCACACACCGACTCACCACTCGCCTGCACGTGCCCGAGCTGCACTCGTCAGTGAAGCAGGTATGTGTGTCTTAGCCAGTTTCAGGTTTATGCACTGCATGTCTTAAGTCACAGTTGTTCTTCACACACCGACTCACCACTCGCCTGCACGTGCCCGAGCTGCACTCGTCAGTGAAGCAGGTATGTGCGTCTTAGCCAGTTTCAGGTTTATGCACTGCATGTCTTAAGTCACAGTTGTTCTTCACACACCGACTCACCACTCGCCTGCACGTGCCCGAGCTGCACTCGTCAGTGAAGCAGGTATGTGCGTCTTAGCCAGTTTCAGGTTTATGCACTGCATGTCTCAAGTCACAGTTGTTCTTCACACACCGACTCACCACTCGCCTGCACGTGCCCGAGCTGCACTCGTCAGTGAAGCAGGTATGTGTGTCTTAGCCAGTTTCAGGTTTATGCACTGCATGTCTTAAGTCACAGTTGTTCTTCACACACCGACTCACCACTCGCCTGCACGTGCCCGAGCTGCACTCGTCAGTGAAGCAGGTATGTGTGTCTTAGCCAGTTTCAGGTTTATGCACTGCATGTCTTAAGTCACAGTTGTTCTTCACACACCGACTCACCACTCGCCTGCACGTGCCCGAGCTGCACTCGTCAGTGAAGCAGGTATGTGTGTCTTAGCCAGTTTCAGGTTTATGCACTGCATGTCTTAAGTCACAGTTGTTCTTCACACACCGACTCACCACTCGCCTGCACGTGCCCGAGCTGCACTCGTCAGTGAAGCAGGTATGTGTGTCTTAGCCAGTTTCAGGTTTATGCACTGCATGTCTTAAGTCACAGTTGTTCTTCACACACCGACTCACCACTCGCCTGCACGTGCCCGAGCTGCACTCGTCAGTGAAGCAGGTATGTGTGTCTTAGCCAGTTTCAGGTTTATGCACTGCATGTCTTAAGTCACAGTTGTTCTTCACACACCGACTCACCACTCGCCTGCACGTGCCCGAGCTGCACTCGTCAGTGAAGCAGGTATGTGTGTCTTAGCCAGTTTCAGGTTTATGCACTGCATGTCTTAAGTCACAGTTGTTCTTCACACACCGACTCACCACTCGCCTGCACGTGCCCGAGCTGCACTCGTCAGTGAAGCAGGTATGTGTGTCTTAGCCAGTTTCAGGTTTATGCACTGCATGTCTTAAGTCACAGTTGTTCTTCACACACCGACTCACCACTCGCCTGCACGTGCCCGAGCTGCACTCGTCAGTGAAGCAGGTATGTGTGTCTTAGCCAGTTTCAGGTTTATGCACTGCATGTCTTAAGTCACAGTTGTTCTTCACACACCGACTCACCACTCGCCTGCACGTGCCCGAGCTGCACTCGTCAGTGAAGCAGGTATGTGTGTCTTAGCCAGTTTCAGGTTTATGCACTGCATGTCTTAAGTCACAGTTGTTCTTCACACACCGACTCACCACTCGCCTGCACGTGCCCGAGCTGCACTCGTCAGTGAAGCAGGTATGTGTGTCTTAGCCAGTTTCAGGTTTATGCACTGCATGTCTTAAGTCACGGTTGTTCTTCACACACCGACTCACCACTCGCCTGCACGTGCCCGAGCTGCACTCGTCAGTGAAGCAGGTATGTGTGTCTTAGCCAGTTTCAGGTTTATGCACTGCATGTCTTAAGTCACAGTTGTTCTTCACACACCGACTCACCACTCGCCTGCACGTGCCCGAGCTGCACTCGTCAGTGAAGCAGGTATGTGTGTCTTAGCCAGTTTCAGGTTTATGCACTGCATGTCTTAAGTCACAGTTGTTCTTCACACACCGACTCACCACTCGCCTGCACGTGCCCGAGCTGCACTCGTCAGTGAAGCAGGTATGTGTGTCTTAGCCAGTTTCAGGTTTATGCACTGCATGTCTTAAGTCACAGTTGTTCTTCACACACCGACTCACCACTCGCCTGCACGTGCCCGAGCTGCACTCGTCAGTGAAGCAGGTATGTGTGTCTTAGCCAGTTTCAGGTTTATGCACTGCATGTCTTAAGTCACAGTTGTTCTTCACACACCGACTCACCACTCGCCTGCACGTGCCCGAGCTGCACTCGTCCTCCTGACCACTTTCAGGTGTACACACTGAGTGTTTGAAAGCAACACGCATACAATCATGATGCACTTGCAATCCCACCCTTTCACCTCCTTTTTCTCTTCCACCCCCGTCCAGCTGGCAGTCCATCTCATCTCTGACTGCTATGTCGGCCTGGATCAGCTCGTCAGCCTGTCAACAAATGCTGCCGTAGCTGCTCAAGGGACAATCGGGCAGTATACTATTGAGAATGTCGGATTTACCATGGCTGCTGCAGCTGCTGCTGCTGGGGAAAAGAAGAAGGGGGATGTGCTGGGAGGAGTCGCGGTGAGTGAGGGGTGTCAGGATGGGGTGAATCTATTAGGAGGAGGTGATGGTGGTGATGGGAACAATAAGGGAGTTGTCGAGGACGAGGAGGAAGATGAGTTCTTTGAAGCTGAAGGGTAGGTTCACTGGCAAAGCTGAGACTCTAAGAGGTGAATTTATTCAATTTATAAGTGACTTGACAGCAGCTGTAGTGATTTTGTAAAGAAAAGGATGTGAAACTCGGTTCTCTACTGTGTCTTTGAACTTTTAGTGAAGGTATTACAAAACTAGCAGCGGGTCCCCTTGTATACCTGGCATATTTTCTGTGGCGAAGAGTCAACTTTCATCCTGCTTGGGCAAAGCACCATATTGCTCGGTTTCTCCGCATTGGAGTGGGGTTCAGTGTGGTACCACCTCGATGGTCTCGAATCGAAAGTGAGCATTCTGGGACGGACGGTCTAGTCTTAGAGCTGACGTGGCACGATCCCCGCCATTTCTCACTCAGAAATGGGCTCAAGTCGACGGACGGAAAATTACTGGTGTCGGTTCGTCGTAAACGCGCGTCTCGGTCAATCACCAAGGAACAATTTGCTCCTGTACCTTCCCTCCCATAGCTTTCTTCAGAGCTTCAAAGTTTCAAACCACCTGCCATTATATTTTTGCCCCACCTAAACTCGTTGCGGCTGTGAAGAGTAGCTGGTCTGTTGCCCAGTTCTTCGTCGCTCTGAGTCGGAAACCCGACGGAAAGACACTGTGTTGTCGTAATCGCGACGTCGACGTAGTTGATAGCCACGAAAAAACTTACACTCTCGACCGTTTTCAACTTATCAATATAATCAATGGCGCTTCGCAGCTGTAGAGAACGGATCCTTCAGTCAATTCAAGCAGGCTCCGTTGTGCGACGATTGACGAGCGTGAAACAGATCCATTCCTCCACCAGCAGTCAACGGTGTAGCTTACCGTTGTCATCGCCACAATCACTCTTACCCGTAAAAGACGGGAGTTCTTCATTCCTGAACGGGTTTGTAAGACGGATCAACTCGAGTAGTAAATCCGCGTCGCAGCCGCAGATCGGCCTAGAGCAGATCACGGAACGGATTAATGGATCGGAGAGTCATTCGCGGGTGAACGGGTTCGTGCAGTGGTACCTCAAATGCCTCGACTCGCGGCCCGTTATCACCAAGAGCATCACCGCAGCGATCATATTCGGTGCTGCTGACGTCACATCGCAGGCACGTATGTCAGATTATTCTACTTCTCTTTCTTCATTCTTGTTCCCTCCTCGTTTCTCATATTTACAAGGGTTTGATACCTCTCAGTTTTCGGATGCTTCTTCTGGCATATGTATCAATCACCGGGCAGCCTAGCCTTTCAACTGATTGCCAACAGGCAGGTCTTGTTATCAATTGTACCAGGTTACCCAACCATTACTGCTCACTTTTCCTTTATTTCTCATCCTTTCTACTCCCTTCACCTCTTTTCTCCCCTCCTCCCTTCTTCCTCTCTGCAGAAGCTCTCTCACTCCATCCTTGACCCACCCGCCACGTCACCTCTCGACGACAACCCAGACCAACCGCCACGTCAGCAGATGCAGTGGGACGCGTTCCGCACAGCGCGCATGGCAGGGGCGGGTCTCTTGCTATCCGGGCCGACTCTTCACTTGTGGTTCACGCGCCTCGCCAGGGTCATTCCGGGAACGGACGTGCCTCGTGTGCTGCTCAAGATAGCCATGGGACAGCTGCTGTACGGCCCTGTGTTTAACTCCGTGTTCTTCTCAATCAACGCTGCTCTGCAAGGTGAGGAATTGAGGAACTGTGTCTGAATCGCGAGGGTCATCCCAGGCACGGACGTGCCTCGGGTGCTGCTCAAGATAGCCATGGGACAGCTGCTGTACGGCCATATATTCAACTCCGTGTTCTTATCGGTGAACGCTGCTCTGCAACGCAAGGTGACGAAACGAGGGAATTTGGGGAATTTTCAAGGACGACGGCCTGTTTCTAGGTTCGTCTCAAAACCAGGGCAGCTGCTGTACAACCGTGTCTTCAACTCTGTGTTCTTTTTCATGGACGCTGTCTTGCAAGGTGAGAACAGGAGGGGGTGTTTGTAAAGTCCCTTACGCTGCACCTTCTCTGTTTGCACTGCACCTGCCGTGTTTACATTGTGACTTTGGAGTCAACCCCAAAGCACCTTCTTTTCTAGGATCGCCCCCATGGTCCTGCCACTTGCCTGTCTGTTACTTTATCATATGTATCTGTTCATTCTCTTCCACTTTCTCACGTTGCTTGTCGTTCACAATGGTGCCTGTTATTCACGTCATCATACATAATTAAAATGCTCTTCCACTTTCGTCCATGCCTTGTGTTACAGGGGAAAACAAGGAGCAAATCATTGCTCGTCTGAGACGAGACTTGATACCCACCCTCATCAGCGGCGCCTGCTACTGGCCTGTCTGTGACTTCATCACGTTCCGATACGTTCCCGTGAGACTGCAGGTGGGTGAGACTCTTGTTAGATCTGAAACTGAAAGCTTGAACACAGGGGGCAGATCATTGCTCGCTTGAAACGAGACCTGCTACCAATGCCCATCAGCAGCACGTGCTACTGGCTTGTCTGTGACTTCATCACGTTCCGATACGCCCCCGTGAGACTGCAGGTGGGTGAGACTCAGTCTTTAAACCTGAATCCCGAAACTTCGAGGATGATGTCTTGTAACCCGTGAGGCTTTAAGTTGGTGAGAGTCACGTTGTAAACCCAAAACCAGAAACCAGAAACAAACAGTTCCTCGCATTCGTGTAGTTGATTTCACTGGAAAGATACTGCTAATCAGAGAGCATATGCCTTGGCTTTGTGTCTCAGGGTCAGGTGGACTGAGCTTGTGAGGCACGTGTGTGGTACTAGGAGGAAAATATCTCAAAACGAATTTTAGCTGGAACGAGCGCTCAAGTAGATGCATGTTGCCATGCCACATAAAGATGGGGTAGCAACACCTGATGAGGCAGGCAACGTAAATGCTGGTCTGCACTGCATAAAAGTGTCTTCCAACATACTTTTGTGCGTATGGACCATAAATCCCCAAGATTGTTGATTACCAGTCGAGCATAGATATGTGTACATAGTATCGTAAATATCACACATTCCATGTCATCCAATGCCATGCCATGCCTTTCTCCGTCCCCTCGTGTACACCTACGCATTTATCCCCGGTTCTGGTGGTTTTTGCATGTGCAGGTACTAACGAGCAACACTGCTGCTTTCTTCTGGACCATCTACGTCACTTACAAAGCGAGCCTGGCTCCTGCTGCTGCTGCCGACGCTGATGCTGATGCTGATGATCATGTGTCTCAATCGAATGACAGCAAGGAAGAATAGGATGGTTCGGCCTCACAATGTGCTGCCTGGGCTGCTACTGCTTCCGCTGCTGCTCAAAGAAGCTGTGAGCTTCTATAGTTTCAAACAAACCTGTAAATGATTCTTTCCTGTGTATCAAAAAGGGATCCAAACAAAGCAGGAAAAGCGATTGTGCCAGATCGAGGAGCAGGGGTTTGCACTGCCAGCTGTAAAACTCTCTACATGTACAGTGTATAGTTCTCATCATCTCATCACTGCATCCCAAAGCACTGTAAATGTGGTGCTTGCCTAACGAATTCGAGGGGCTGTGGCATTACTAATGCCTGCCTGAAAGACTTGTGGGAAGGGCTTGTCAGTTGTCAGTTGCTACCTTGCGCCTGCATACTTGTTTCCTCAAGTATGCCAGGATGCTCTCTACTGCGAGTGTAGGTAGTTCAAGGTTTTGCTTGCCTGCATCCTTCCTTTCCGTATCCTCCGCTAGCTACCCTCACCATTTTGACACAGGCAAAACCTCCCCTCCCCCTTGACAGTTTGAAACTTGCTCCTACACTACGATCCTGTAACACGAATGTTGCCATTGCACTAGAAACATTCTCTCGACAAACCCCGCATTTTTTTCCTGGCAGAGGGAGGGAAGAGCTGCACTCAATGCGGGTGCAGGCGGGGTATGTGCAGCTGAGTATGAGCTGTGAGGGCGCCCTCACCACCACCCTACCTCGGCATAACAACATAGTAGCTCTTCTGCTGCAATAGAAAGCATTCCTATGCCAGGAAATCGTATTTAAACATTGGAAAGATCGTCAGATCAACACTTGATCCACTAGGAAACAGGGTTTACGAGAGTCAGATTGCCCCCCTGCTGCCCCGCTGGGACTGTGAGATTGCCCTCCTGCTGCCCTGCTGGTGGTGCTGTGAGAGTGACACTACCTTGTTGCTCCCCTTGGCACGTGGGGCCGGGAGGGAAGAGCTGCACTGGCTGCGGGCGGTACGTGCCGTTGAGAATGAGCTGTGAAGGGCCATAGGCTCGCAGCACCACTGCACTCCTTGTCTGCAGGGAGGGGGGAAAGATGGAGGAAACGGGAAGGTGACTTTTGAGTCGACTCAACAGTCACCTCTGTTGAGAATGAGCTGTGAGGGGCCATACGCCCTCAGCACCACTGCACTCTTCTGTGGGAGAACGGGGAAGAGAAAGGGGAAGGGAAAGGAAGAACGAAAGTGGAGAGTGAAAGGAAAGCATGGAACAGATAGTGAGATAGAGAGCAGAAGGGTGTGTTTGTGTCGCTTTTGAGACTTGTCAAAGGAGGGAAGGCAGAGAACCAAAAGGTAGATGTAGACAAGGGAGAGAGGGATAGTCGCACTTAAGGAGAAACGGGTTGCAAGGGTTGCAGTACCGAGTTAACTGTAGGGATCCGGTTGACTTCGAGCGATTGGCCGGGCGACGTGGGTTGAATGTAGATGGTGAGTGTGCCGTCAGGGTTGTACTGCCGTGAGGGAGAGGGGCAAGAGACCAGGTTTGGTTGCATAGGGGTTGATTGGGGGAGGAGGCAAGGAAATTGTGTGTGTGCTTTTTAACCTGCTTAAAGAATAATGTAGACTGTGACCGACCAGGAGTCGACCCAGGGAGGGGTGAGGAAGAAGCAGTGTGCCAAATGATGTACCAGAGGGTGTTGAGAGGAGTCCTATCGCCCACGGGGTATTTAGTTATGTCGTACTTAACCATTTCCTCCAATAAATTCCGCAAGGTGCTATTGTAAACTGTTACAGACCAGAACTGTTACAGACCAGAACTGTTACAGACCAGAACTATTACAGACCAGAACTGTTACAGACCAGAACTGTTACAGACCAGAACTGTTACAGACCAGAAGGAGTCGACTGGGGGCGGGGTAAGGTGAAAGGAAGCAAGACACTCACCAGCAGGCCTGGAGTCCTATCACCCACGCCGTACTCTGTCACTCCCTCCAGGAGGTTCAGTGAGGTGCTGTTGTAGACTGTGACAGACCAGAAGGAATCAAGAGGAGGGGGAGTAGGAGGAGGAATGAGGGGAAGAAAGAAGGACACTCACCAGCAGGTTTGGAGTCCTATCACCCACGCCGTACTTTGTCACTCCCTCCAAAAGATTTAGAGAGGTGCTGTTGTATTGTAAACAGTGACGGATCAGACGGAGTCAATAGAGACTCAGCAGCAGGCTTAGTGTGTGTGGTCGGCCGAGTGAAAGAAACTTACCAGCAGTCCTGGTGTGCGGTCACCCACACCATACTTAGTCACTCCCTCCAGGAGATTCAGTGAGGTGCTGTTGTAGACTGTGACAGACCAGAAGGAGTCGGGATACTTACCAGCAGGCTAACCAGCAGCATGACGGATGGGGGGGTGTAAGAGAGAGACTCACCAGCAGGCCCGGAGTCCTATCCCCCACACCATACTTAGTAACTCCTTTTAGTAGATTTATAGAGGTGCTGTTGTAGACGGTGACAGACCAGAAGGAGTGAAGAGGAGAAGGAGGGACGTGGAATGAAGAAAGGAACTCACAATCAGGCCAGGAGTGCGGTCGCCCACACCATATTTGTTGACTCCCTCCAGGAGTTTCAGCGAGGTGCTGTTGTAGACTGTGACAGACCAGAAGGAGTCGACCGGGGGAGGAGGAGAGACGTGAAAGGAAGCAAGATACTCACCAGCAGGCCTGGAGTCCTGTCACCGACACCATACTTAGTCACTCCTTCTAGAAGATTTAGCGAGGTGCTGTTGTAGACCGTGACAGACCAGAAGGAGTCGACCGGGGGAGGGGTGAGGCGCAGGCGGAAGCACAGGGGGCCTTCGAGGGGGACGAATGGGGGGAAGCGGCGGAAGGGAGGCAGCGAGGGGAGGCTGGGGGGTTCGGGAGAAGTCCGGTTGGTGTTGGTTGGTGTGGTTGTGTTGGCTGGTGTGGTGGTGTTGGTTGGTGTGGTGGTGTTAGTTGGTGTGGTGGTGTTAGTTGGTGTGGTGGTGTTGAGAGGGATTGTCAAGGGTGATTCTGACAAGGGAGTCGGTGCTGCAGGGTTGCCGGGAAACAGGCCTTGCAGCGTTGGAACGGCCTGGATGGATTTGGGTGTTGGAGGGGAGACACAGAACAGAAGAAGAGAAAAATCAGCAAAAGGAGTGTCGAATGAAGAAAGGTGAGATCAGAACAGGAGTGCTCTGAGCTGCTTTGAGATGCTTTGAGGTACTCTGCGGTTCCTTGAGGTGTTCTAAGGTGGTGCTACGAGGTGGTTTCCCTCTCACAAGGAAGAGCAGAGAGTCGTAAGAAGAATTCTACGCAGCAAAGGCAGTGTGACGCCAGAGGAAGCTTCCTCACCCAGCCAAGCCGTAACGAGGCTTAGCAGTGGATAGACAGAGAAGGAAGCTTCCTCACCTGGGCGAGGAAGGTGAGGAATTAGACGACCTCGGTGGCGGGGAGAGCGCCCATGCCTCCAGAGGATGAGAAGGTGGCGCGATGGAAGAACTCGCGATCAAAGTCGTGACCAGTGGGCAACCAATATACCAAGCCACGTGGGGAAAAGAGGAGAGAGGAAGCCTCCTTACCTGGGCGAGGAAGGTGAGGAAGTAAACCACCTCAGTGGCTGGAAGTGCCCCGATGCCTCCCGAGGAGGAGAAGGTGGCACGATAGAAGAACTCGCGGTCAAAGTCGTGACCCAGCCAGTTGAGTGACGACGCCCAGAAATCGTCCCTGGTGTGTGCAAGTGCAATTGCAAGCATGGAGCGGAGGGAAGGAAGGACGGAACAATGATATTGCACAAAATTGGGGATTGGATGGGATAGGTCCTGACGCGAGGAGCAGAGCCTGCAAAAGAGAAGCAGAACTCGCGGTCAAAGTCGTGACCCAGCCAGTTGGGTGACGACGCCCAGAAGTCGTCCCTGGTGTGGTGTGGGAACAGACAGGCACACGGAGGGATAAGGAAGGAAGCAACAGTGGCAAGGGCTGTTGAGGCATCACACAGATCTGAAATGGGGTGTGGATGGGATAGGCGCCGAGGAGCAGAGGTCGCAGGGGAGGAGAAGAAAAAGTTGACTGATGATGAAATGCATACGCTTGGTAATAGGAGCAACAGGGTGGTAAAATACAACCTTGTTGCTCTGGAATAATTATGGTCCATCTGTTGACGTGAATGAATGGTTAAACGAGCGAGTTCAGCTAAGCAGCACACTCACGACTGAATGAGGGATTTGTTGATCTGAATGATCCTGTCGGAGGTGTTCAGTGCCTGGTCCGTCACCTCTCTCTCTGCCTCCAGGCTCCAGCACTGCTTTTGAGACGAGTCAAAAGGCACTCACTAAACCCTGTTGGCGGTGCTCAATGCCTGGTCCGTCACCAATCTTGCTGCCTCCAGCGCTGCTCTTGAGATGAGCTAAGTGGCACACTAGCGACTGAATGAATGATTTGTTGATCTGAATGATTGCACTCACGACTGAATGAGGGACTCGTTGATTTGAATGATTTGGTTGGCGGTGCTCAGTGCCTGGTCCGTCACCACTCTCGCTGCCTCCAGTGCCGCTGCCTGCTGCTGTGTCACGCTGTAGGGGTCACTGCTGGGTGACGTTGATGGATGCGAGCTGATAGGAGGGGAGAGAGGGAGTGAGGAAGGGGGGAGGAGGGGGGGGTTGAGGGTGGGCAAGTCGATGGGAGAGGGCACAAGTATTAGAAGGTGTGTGACGCTGTAGGGGTCGAAGCCGCACTGCTGGGTGACGTTGATGGACGCGAGCTGAAGTGGGGGGAGGTGTGGAGAGAGCAGAGTGGGAGGAGAGTGGGCAGAAGTGGAGGGCAAGTGTGTGGCACTGCAGTGATCGAAGGCATACTGCTGGGTGACGTTGATTAACGCGAGCTGAGGAGCGAAGGAAGGTGGGGGGGTGTGAGCATAGATGAGAATGTGTGGCTGTGCAGAGAATCGAAGCCGTACTCCTGGGTGACGTTGATTGTCGGCAGCTGAAGGGGGAGGACGGAGGGAGTGGGGATCGTTGTGGGCATAGATGAGAGGGTGTGGCACTGGAAAGGTCAAAGCTGTACCACTGGGTGAGGTTGATGGATGCACCACGCCCTGCCTGCAATGCGGACGATACGGCTGTGGGCTTGGCGCTGTTATTGACAGGTGAGTCAGACTGCTGCACTGCACGGCTCTCTACCATTGCCCCTTTCCCTACTATGCATATCCCACCCGTCTCACCATGCGCACGACGCGGTTGTTGGCGCTGTTATTGACGGGTGGGTCCCGCTGAAGGCCCTCCCCAATGAGAGTCAAACGCTGCACGGGTGAGCAGCAGAGAAGGAGGGCGATGGCAGGGAGAGATTAGAATTCAACTGGAACATTGTTGGTGTGTCGAAGGCCCTCGGGAAAGAGAGTCACGCGCTGCATGGGCGAGCAGCAGGGAGGGCAATGGGAGGGAGGGAATGAAATGAGAGGGGGACGGGATAGACGGGAAGATATGTGGGCGATGGGTGGGAAGGAAGTGGGAAGGAGGGGGATGGGAAAGGTGCATAGACTGTAGCAAATCGTGGTCGTGGAACACAAAAGAGGGGACAGGGTGCTGGTTGAGGCAGACTGCTCGCCTGCAGGTTGCCACTGGCCAGGGACAGCAAATATTGGAGAGAAGTCAACTGAATGACCACTGCTCACCTGCAGGGCCAATGCTCAAAACTAGGCAGCACAAGGGCAGCTGCTGCTCACCTGGAGGGCCTCGGAGAGGTTGGAGCTGGGGAGGGGCGGATTGGGGAGGGGAGCAACGGCAGGCCCACCTAGTGCCTCTGAGAGTGACTGTAGCGAGACTTGACTGTAGAGGTCCAGCACTGTAGCAATGTCGTTGGTGACGTTTTCTGACACGACCACTCGCATCAACAGGAGCGCATCATTAGTTGGGGACTGGTGGGAACAGGGGAGTTGGGGAAAGAAGGGGCGGGAAGAAGAGCGGGCAAGAGTGGAGTGGGGTGGAGGGAGGGAGACGAGGGGGAGGGAAAGAAGGGAGGGGGAAGGGGAACGGGGAAACGGCAAAAGGCAAGCGAGAAAGGAGAAGGAGAGGAGAGAAATGAGGAGAACGGGGAAACGACAAGAAGTGAGCAACAAATGGGCAAGAGGAGAGAGGAAGGGAATAGGCTTAACGACCAAATGCACTAGCAGAAGCATCAATAGTAAGGAAGTGTGCACGTGTCAGAAGCACGGTGCGAGGAATGTATGAATTAATAGCAATACTCTTCTCACCCGTATGACGGTGGGTGCGAGGTCACCCGGCAGCTCCCCAGCCCAGTCCGGCCCGACAACGGTGAACGTGTTGGGGCCTGGCCCGTTGGCTCGGCTGCCGTTCACACTGAATGCCGAGTAGTAGAGCTGGAAGAACCCGGCACTGCCAGAAAATGGGGGGTTGGGAGGCATTGGTTTGGAAAGGATTGGATTTGAAAGGATGCGGTTAAAACCAGGGTCTCACGTAAGAGAAATTGTGATCAACTGCAAAACAATTGAAGCTTCGTCACCCTGTTTGAGGTGGCGAAGTCTAGGGGTTGGTTTGGGAATTGACTGTGCGACACCTCCCGTTTTTGCCTCTGATTCAATTGCAAAACATTTTGATGGGTACATGAGACTGACGGGATGCTCGAACATTTTGCTGGTGTTCTAGCTTTGGCACCGAACCAATTTCCGTGCCTAGATGGTTCGGACACAAACTGCGATTTGTGTTTCCTTCGCTCCCCTCGTCACACCGCCCGTCATTCTTTACACCTCGCCAACCAATCCCAACCAAGGTGAAGTGATCAACTGCAAAACAAATGATCTACGTGAGACCCTGGTTTTAACACTATCGTCATGTTGGGGCCTGGCCCGTTGGCTCGGGTGCCGTTCACACTGAAATCCGAGTAGTAGGTCTGGAAGAACCCGATGCTGCCGATTAAAGGATGGAGGAGGGAAGGGGTTGGTGGATAAAACTGCATGTCTGTACCCCCTAGTGGAGAAAGACGCACGCGTCCTGCTGCGTCCTGCGTCTGGACGCAGCGTCCAGACGCAGAGACGCAGGACGCGCGTCCAGACGCAGGACGCACCCCGTTTTTTTTTCGGGCTGACCGGAAAAAAAAAATTGCCCCAGCGCGAAATTGACTTAACGATTTCGACGCGACTGTCAATTTCGCGTCATGTCGACCCCCCCTAACCCATTTCGACCATCAAAAACACCCTAGAGGGTTTACCAAGACAATTCTCCTTCGTAAACCCTAAACCCTGAAAATTTGAAGGGGACGATTTTGCCTCAAATGTGTGCATCGTCGTTCCCCCCCCCCCCCTTCCCATACCCTATAACATCATTTTTCGGCTGCCCGGGCGTTTTTTTTCCCTGCCCGGGCATGCGTCTTTTCATGCGTCCCAAAGGCCCTCCTCTAGCGTCCTGCATCTAAGACGCTGCGTCTGGACGCAAGCGTCCTAGACGCAGGACGCCTGAATCAATACAAAGGACCGTTTGAGAGAGAGAGTGGGTTGGATTGGACTCGTCACCACACTGAAATCCGAATAGTAGGTCCGGAAATGCCCGACGCTGCCAAGCAAAGCAGGGTCGGGGAGGGATTGGTTTGAACGGGATTGGATTTGAAGGGATGCGGTTAACACTATCGTCATGTTGGAGCCTGGCCCGTTGGCCTGCTGTAGTAGTAGGCCTGGATGAATCCGATGCTGCCAACACGAAGGGAAGGGAGGAGGGGATTGACTAGGAAAGGAGACAAATGGGGTTGCGAGGACCGTTCGTGATATTTTAGAACAGATAAACTGATGTTATTTGCTCTCGTTTTCCAGTGTTTGCTGAAGCAGAAGAGAAAGGAAGGGGAAACTGATGTACAAAGGGTGGATGTTACTGGTTAGGTTCTCAAGTGAACGAACCCTAAACCCTAATTATTTCACTTTATCTGGCTGGTTATGCTTGTGTTGGGTTGGCTCATACCGTCAAGTCAAACAGGCCTTGCTGTCAACCGGCTATGCTTGCGTCATTTGTGAGATTTCTCAAGCGCTTTTGAAATCTCAAACGGCCGTTTGACAGAAGCATACCTGGCCTTGATTGATCTTATCTCAAAAGGCTGCTGGCACGTTTGGTGAATTCCGTGTTGTTGTTCGAAGGGGAGCTGCCAGCCAGCTCCCCTGCTGAACATTTCCTCTTCACTCCTGCGGCTTCATTCTGACTTTCGGCTGCCGGGACTCTTCTTTTTCCAACCCCACCCCTTTCATACGCAGCATCAGTTTCTTCCAAACCTCGTACTCAAATTTATTTGTCAAGTAAGCTGACCCAGAAGTGAACTCACCTGTAGTAGCGACCTTGGCCCATGTAGGGGGTCCTCAGCACCATGGGCTGATCCCGCAGGTAGAGGAAGGCTCCGCCATACACCGTGTCCACATTGGGGAGAGCCACGTCTGGGTGGGTTGGGTAAGAGATTGCAAGGGCGTGCAGTGAGGATTCCTGAACCTTTGGAGGAAGGGGGAAGGATCCTCCATACACCGTGTCCACATTGGGGAGAGGAGAGCCTCATCTGGATGGATCAAGAGGGAGAGGGGATGAGAATGTGAAGGTATGCAGCGCAAAGGTTGGTTGTAGTCCTCTGGAGAAAGAGGGAGGGGACGAGGAAGGATGTACCATCTCATGGTAGGTCCCTGGCTGCACTGTGCATATTGGGCAAAGCCACAGCTTGGGGGGTGGGAAGCTGACTTTTGAATCGACTCAAAAGTCATCTCATGGCGGGTTCCTGACTGCACTGTGCATATTGGGCAAAGCCACAGCTTGGGGGGTGAGAGTGAGAGATACGGGGACGGAGGAACAAGAGTAACGCAAGTAGGAATTTTTGGAGGAAGAAGAAGAGGAAGGCATTGCCATTCACAGCGTCCACGGCTTTGCGTTCACAAGTAGGAATACACAGCACAAGGCTACAAGCCGCTTGTGTTACGCTCTCGGTTACTGGGGTGGGGTGCATTCGCTGCGCCAGCTAAAAAAAAAAAAAAAAAAAAAAAAAAAACGCATTAACCAAAGCACGCACTAGCATGGCATGCACGGCTCACTGTGGTGCTGACAGCAGCAGTGGTGTTGGCGTAGGAGGCAGACAGTCGCATAGAATATTGGATCACGAGAAGGATGCAATAATCACCAGGAGACAGATGCACCGGTGGTACCAATGACGGGAGAGGAAATCCCATCAGTGTGCATCAGAGACATACATCAGAATAACGCTCCGAGAAGCAAGCATGACTCACTGGTGGTGCCGACGACGGCGGTGGTGTTGGCATATGAGAAGGCGTTGAGGGCAGCACGGGTGGCCTGCTGGCGGAAGAAGGTGACGAGAGGAGACCCCCACACGAACGCCTCCTGGCCCACCGTGAAGTACCGCACCGCACCCCCCTCCGTGCCATTGCCAGCAGCCCCAGTGAAGTTACTGCCTCCGGTCAAGTTGCCAGCAGCAGTGGCGTTACCAGCAGCACTGCTGTTTCCCGCAGGTGTGATACCGCTGCTGTTGCTGCTGATGCTGATGGGAGCTGTGGCGCTACCAGCTCCAATAAGGCTACTGGAAGGACTAGCACTGTTTTCAGCAATGGCGCTGCTGTCACCACCACTAGTACCATTACCGGCAGGAGGATCAGGGATGCTAGCTGCGTTCGTCTCGTCCGCCATACCCAGTCCGCCCAACTGCTCCTGCAGCCCCCGTCTCCCGGATCTCACTTCTTCCAGAAACCCACGCGCAGCCATTCCTACATGCAATAGCCCGTTTACTGCCACCCCAGCAACTCCCACCACCCCGTGCGCCTGTGTTGCTGCCTCACTGCGCTTCTGTGCAGACCTACCCACTGACTGCTGCACGGATGCAGGGAAGACCTCTGTACTGACAGCCATCACCACCAGCACGGCCTCAAGCCCTTCACGTGATGAGGATGACGTGTTGCACGGCTGACAAGCAGAGCACTCTGCCTAAACAACAGCTGATGGTTGTGTAGTACCGTCGTGTGCGCAAGGAAGCTTGATCATTTTCCGCGCAGGAAAATCGTCTTTGAAAAAAAAAAAAAAACAATAATAAAATAGCAATAGGACGAGCAGACGGTTTACGGGTATGGCGTCTGGACGCACGTCCATGGGTCCAGGAGGTAGGAGAGATGCGAGCAAATTAAACAAGGACGGGAAAGACGGCTCTGGAGGTAAAGCAGCCAGTGACGTCAGAGTCCTAACGACAGAAGCTATTCCTCCCGCTAAGCGCAAAAAGTACAAGGAGAGAGTGAAAGGACCGAACGCGTCTTTAACAACTGTCGACAGCTTTTCGGCGATCGTAGCTCCCGAGTCGGCTATGCTTACGCGGCTCCAGGCTGAAGAGCGACAGATGGATATCGTCCTATCGCGCGTTAAGGTGGAGCTTTCCGAATCGATCCACGCCATGCCACGTGTCACTCGAAACCTCCGACTTTACGCCTTTAATACCCACTCGTTCCAGGATCGCGCAGTGCAGAGCGGAATCAAATCGGATGTAGACGGGTCAATCGCAGCCGATGATGTGCCTCACTGGACTTTGCGAGTCGTGGCGCGAATGGTGGGAGAAGATGAGGAGCAATTCGGTACTCAGACAGGTGAATCTCCTGGAGGAAAAGTTCCCCTGAGCACTAAGCGCGTCGGAAGTACCGAGAAGGAGCGTTCCTTAGCAATGTCCGCGATATTAGCAGATGCAGAGTCGCGCGGATCGGATCCAGCCGTTGGAGAATCAGGCTTGAGCCAGGCTTTGCTAGGCTCGGGAGTTTTCAAGGTTAGGGATGCCGTGGCTGGCCCGTTGGCTCGGCACGTCCAGCGGATCGAGGCTCGGCTCGACCCGAAGCTGTTCACTCCACCCAACAACGCGGTGACCCTATGGGATGCAGACAGGGACGGGATTCTCCGACCAGATGCATCAACGGTGGAGATGCAGCGAGAGGGGACCAGTGAATCGTTGGTGGATCTTCGTGTGGAGCTGAAGCAGGGGGAGGAAGTGTACAGTGTGGAAGAGCGGTTGAGAGCGGTGGTGGGGATGAGTGTGGCGACCAGGCTGCAAGTATTGGAGGGCCTTTGGAATCATATAAAGGCCAACAAGCTGCAGGTGAGTGATCTTCTGTATCATCTATTTTTTGTTACTCTTGTGTGGTTTGACGGCTCTTATGCCATCCTTGTGTAGCTTGACATCTCTTCAGTCTTTCAACAGTAATGCCAACAAGGTTCAGAAATGCTGATCCGTCTACTGCTGATCCAACAATGCTTCTCCCCGATTTGCTGTTGTTTCTCCTCTACCATCCACATTCCTCATTTTGCTGTTGTTTCGCCCCTACCATCCACATTCCTAAGTTTGCTGTTGTTTCTCCCCTACCATTCACCACATCCCTCCATTTTGCTGCTGTTTCTCCCATGTTTCCCCAACAGGATCCCTCAGACCCTTCCTCCTTCACCTGCGATGCTACCCTCCAAGCGCTCTTCAAACAGGACAAGCTCAAAATCTCCTCCCTCCCCATCCACATCTCCCCATTCCTCTCTCCTCCACCGCCTCTCACCATCACGCACCGCATCTCCCTTGCCACCTCCCCCGCAGACTCCGCCACACTCCCTTCATTAGATCCCCCCTTTCATCCACTGGGCCCACCCACCAACCTCCCTTCGTACGAGACCCTGCCCCCTGTTTCGGCTGACACCTGCGTGGATGTGACTGTAACAGAAGCTCCTGCCCTCGCGGCCGAAACGGCCCGTGCGATTGCAGCGATGGGTCAGCAGCCGGAGATAGACGCGATTGATGCAGCCATGGCCAGAGACGCGGAGCTTTTAGCTAAGCACCGGCGGCGGCGCGCCTTTTTCCTAGCGTTTTCGCACTCTCCTGGGGAGTTTATCAGGGACTTGATGGTTTCGCAGCAGAGAGATTTGGATCAGATGCAGCAGGGAGGGGTGGAAGGTGCTGGGGGTGCACAAGCGTTTGGCCCTGAGACTGCTGACCAAGATGCAGAATTCTATGCTCTACCGTGGTGAGTACTCTCTGCTGGAATGCTTGCAGATTTGTTGTCATTGCTGCCACTAGCCATGTGTGTTGTGCGTCACTGTTTTGGCGATGCTGGTCTCGCTTACTGCTATGAATGTTCTGGAAAAACTGCTCGCATGCATACTCAATCTGTACCAATTTGTGTTTTTTTGGCTGCTTGCCTGTGTGCAGGGTGGATGATGCCCTTCTGAGGTACCTGAATCGCCATTCCATGGGTACTGATGGTCTTGCATTGTGAGGTTGATGGTTTAACTCCGACACCTCAATGCATTGCATCGTGATAAGACGTTCACCAGGTGTCTGTGGGACCTTGCAGTCATGCTGCTGAACCATGTGTACAGCCAGTAGGTGTTCCCCCCATACATAAATCTATCAAAGTCAATCTAGCCATGTCATTGATCATTACGTTTCTGCTTTAAATGCTGAAAATCGTGCTGTTTAGGTGAGTGAGCTGATGGAGTCTCTCAACTTCAGTCTAAACTAATGATTTTGCAGCGAGTATTACAGCGAGTAACGTTTTACAGCGAGTATTCAAGGGAATGGTGCTGAAACAAGGGAAAATATGTCAATGGTAACTTACATGGGGCATTTTAACGCGTACGGTAACGATTTCAACGCGTTTGGTAACTCGCTTAACGCGTTTGGTAACTCGCTTAACACGTGTGGTAACTCGCTTAACGCGTATGGTAACTATACACTAGCAGCCCATCACGCGAATGGTAACTAGAAGAAACCCCCGCCCAAATTACCCTGATTCTGGTTTTTCCCGCTCGCGTCAGACTAAATTGACGAATCTTGAAGCAGAAACCTCTGACACACTCTCCGACATTCTGACACATTTTTCCGAAATTCTGACACACTTTCCGAAATCCTGACACACTTTCCGATTTTCAAGATAATTGCAAATAACGTAAGGGTTGTGAAAACAACTTTTCTTACATAACTGATATTCTGGCGCTCTTTCCGCAAACTGTTTGTACTTCATTCTATCGTGCAGCCGGGCAAACAAATCTATACCCCTTTTAGATGGCAAATGAATTTGAGAGGCGACCCTAAACTCCTTGCGAGAAGGCGTTTATGGTTCTTTTAAAAAACAAATTAGACATGTAATTCTAAAGAGGTGTATTTTTCCCACATGCAAAAATTCTCCAACGTTGCAGTAATTACAAATATTAAAAGCCGTTTGGTCCTTTCGGGGAATGGTTTTTTATCATTTTGCAAGTTCGCAATCATGCTATCAAAAATATGATTTTAACCGTTTTTGTACGAGCTACATATATATTTAAAACGGCTCTGAAACTTTTCGGTCCATGGTAATAGAACAAATGGGGTCCTTTAAAGTCGCGGCGAGACTTGTTCAAGAGCAATAAAACTGTGCGTAAAAGCTTTTTAAACTCGATAAATTCCTCTTTGTCAGGATCATTTCGGCGGGAGTTTCATGTAGTTACCATTCGTGTGATGGGCTGCTAGTGTATAGTTACCATACGCGTTAAGCGAGTTACCAAACGTGTTAAGCGAGTTACCAAACGCGTTAAAGCAGCAGTATACATTTGGCAGGGAGAGTGCCAAAAGTTTATAAACGGTACATGGTAGGGGCGAAATTGTGGGGCACACTGAAAAACCCTGAACCCCGCTGTCAAATGTATACTGCCGCTTTAAAGCTTTTGTATACATTTGCGTTTACTGTTTAGGGTTGTACAGTAGCCCTGAAAACTTCGCCCAAACGAACAGAAATGAGGTTCGTGAGGGTTTGGCGAAAAAAGGGAGAATGAATGGTGCGAGACACGGAAAGCTCCCCCGTCACTCAACCTTGCAGTGACACTCACAGCCCGAAGCAAGCATGATAAGCGTCTAATAACATAGCCATAGCATAGACATAGGAGACCTGGGGGAGCAGCGGCGTATACTAAAAGGAATTTACCGCGCAAGTACGAACTAGAGCTACGGGACTACCTACATTGTACGCTTTGGGTAGTACAAGGGGCATCTAGTTTGGCCGCCAGCTCCCTTCCGTCGCAGCGCCCTTCAACAATCGGACGGGCTCAGCTGTGCATACGAAACAGCAGGCGGTGCAGCCTTTATCGGCAGAGTCGAGGCATCAAGGGCGCCTCCTCTGGTGGCATCACCACCCTGCGGTCGCCGCGATAGAGTAAGCCTAGGTCGCGATTAGGGAATTCAAAATCCGTCGTCGAGCTCAGCGCGTTGCATGCATCTCGCGACGCCGCCACTCCTCTTACCCCCTCGCCCGCTGCGCGCCTTCCTCCCGCTGAGCTCCCGTCCCGCTGCGCGCCCGCTTAGGGCTAAGCGCGTCACCCGCGGCGCGCGTTCCCGCTAAGTGCTTCACCCGCTGCGTGCCTGCTTCCCGCTAAGCGCCCGTCCAGCGGCGCGCCTGCTTCCCGCTACGCGCCTCACCCTACGCGCGCCTGCTTCCCGCTAAGCGCCTCACCCGCTGCGCGCCTGCTTCCCGCTAAGCGCCTCACCCGCTGCGCGCCTGCTTCTCGCTAAGCGCCCGTCCCGCTTAGCGCCTGCTTCCCGCTTAGCGCCTCACCCGCTGCGCGCATGCTTCCTGCTAAGCGCATCACACGCAGCGCGCCTGCTTCCCACTTTGCGCATGCGCATAATCTTCACATTACCCCCCCTTCCATCCCCATGTTTTCCCCGCTTAGCCCTGTCATTGCCTCCCGTACGCACCCTCCTTTGGCATCACCTCTTCCGCGCTTTCCCCCCAAAATCTCCCTCAGTTCCCATCCCTTCGCCCCCACGTTTCCCCCATTCTTCCACTGTTTAGCCCCCCCTCCACCCTCACATTACCCCCCTACTTCCCCCTCTATTTGCCCCCCTTTCACACCCCCATTTCCCCCCGAAATCAAGGCATCCAAAACCCCCCCCCCCCCCCATACTCTGAGTTCCCCCCCCCTCCTCCCCCACTCAGATTCCATTCTACTCGCTCTCAAATCCCCCCTTATCCCTCTCAACCCCACTCGCCCTTATTTCACCCCCTTCTCCCCCTCAGATCAGCACGTTTCCCCCCCTTCTCACCCTTATTTTATCCCCTTTGCCCTCTCATTTCGGATTCTGCTCCCACGCAAGGTTGGCCCCCTTCTCGCTTCGATTCCCCCTTCTCCCTCCTATCCCTCCCTTCTCCCCCTCATGTAGCTACATGAGGCCATCTCATCATCCCCTCTCCGCCACCTCATTTCTAACTCTCATTTCCTCCCGGCTCTCTCTCTCATTACCCCCCGCTTCCCCCATCTCATTCCGCCTCTTGCTCTCTCTCAGCCCCCCTCCCCTCACCATCATTTTCGTTTCTCCCTTGCTCCCACTCATTACCCCCTCTTCTCCCCCACATGTCCCCCCCTTCTCCCTCTCATTCCCCCCCTCTTCGCCCTCTCATTACCTACCTGTCTCTCCCTCCTACCCCCCTTTCTCCCCCCCATTTATCCCCCTTCTACCCCTCCTCCCCCCCCCCCCCCCCCGCCTTCCCCTACTCAAGTCCCCCCCCTTCTCGCTCTAATATCCCCCTTTCATCCCTCTCCCCTCTACTCTCTATCGTTTCCCCCCTTCTCCCCCTCATTTCCTCCCCTGCTCCATCTCAATTCCCCCGTTTCGCCCTCTCAGCCCCACCCCCCCCCCTTGCTTCCCTCATTTTCCCCCCTTCTCCCTCTCTTTCACCCCCCTGATCCCCTTCATACAGCCCCATGCTCCTTCTCACTTCCCCCAATTCTCCCACTCATTTTCTCCCCTTCTCCACCACATGTCCCCCACTTCTCCGGGAAATTTCCCCCCCTGCTCCTTTCATTACCCATTTCGGCTCCCCCTCATTTCCCCCTGTCTCCCCCCCGTTTCCCCCCCTTCTCCCACTCATTTCAACCCCTTCACCGACTCAAGTTCCCCCCTCCCAACTCTCAGATCCCCCTTTTCTCCCTCTCAACCCCCCCCCCCCCCCCCCCCCACCCCCCCCCCCCCTCTTCTCTCTATCGTTTCCCTGCTTCTCCCCCTCATTTACGGGCCAACACGGCTAGGCCGTGGTCTATCACGAGTGAGCTGCATACTTCCCCTTCCCTGCCAATCCATCCCCCCGTCACTGCCCTTCCCCGACTGCCATGCCGTTTCCCTACTGCCCTTCCCTTCCCTGTTATTGCCTTCCCTCCCTCCCCATTTCGGCTTCACATCATCCCTCCCTTCCAGGGTGGGACACATTTTCCGATAGTAGTTAACGTCGCACGACGTTATCTTGGCCCCCACACCCATCGTTGCCATGGGTCCATCTTATCCACCACACTTCTTCCTCACCCCTCCATAGCTCAGAGTAATCTCGCCTCCCATGCCACATGATCTATAGGTTATTTTTGGAGCCCTGCATGCCCCCACAATCCCATCTGCCCGCCCTTCCTGTGCCTTATTTCAGGAGCCCGCCTTGACATGGTCGACGTGACCGCGCATAATTACAAGCCCGCCATCACGAGATCTCGGTCCACCGTCTATTTCGTATCATCCATTCCATCTCCGCCGCGCGGATTTGCGGCCCTGCTTTCCCCCTCCATTCCCTCCGCTGTCCAAACCACGCACGACTCGTAACGGGAGGGGCACTTCATGGGGCATCCAAGAAAAATATATGTGGAGACATGGACAAAGAGGGTGAAGGAATTGGTGAAAGCAAAGGATCAGAGGAATCTAGCAATATCAAAGCACATGCAGATCCCTATTTGTTACTTGCATTGTGGCTTGAGCACTTTGATGGGAGAGGGACGTACGGCAACGCTTTCAGACCTTGTGTACTTCCTGTTACACGCTGGCCCAGGGGCAACCGAGACACTTATGACCGCAGCGAAGAAGGCCGGTAAGTGACCATCTACTCATGGGCTGCCAAATTCCCAACATTGGTTTTGTCTATTAGCAATTACCATAGCGAAAAACGTGACTTTAGAGCTCCACCATGCTGAAGATGGTGCCCTTTACCGTTCATTCACCCAACGTACAGGTGCGGACGGCGATACGGCCGAGAAGGCAGTGCAAGGCTGCCTGGAAAAGTACGCTGGAAAGTTTCAGGGGGGGAAGGATCGCATGGCCGGCCGACCTGATGCCCTCGTGGGAGGACAGCCAGCTGCTATCAGGGGTTTGGTATATGCCTTCCCGATAGAGCATTGGAGCGATGAGGAGACTCTACGACGCGACACCACCGTTTTCCGTCAGGGTGGGGCCCGTCGGGGTGCAGCGTATGCTGAGCTAAAGCAAAAAGGTATGCGCTCCCAATCAGAGTTTAGCTACACTGCACAGCTCGCAAAATGATACCATGTCAGCGCTGTTAGTGTGTACGTTGCGAGTGACCCTGTAATTTGGACAGGGGCACACACCGCGGACGATGAGGTAGAGTGCGATCCACGTGAGTGTGATCATCCTCTTCTCTGCCCCTACCCTCCCCTGCCCCAAGGATGCAACATGGGCAGGTCCATTTTGTCTAGCCTTCCATGCCCATTACATCACTTCCGCACTCAGGCGATGGGATTTCCCCCTTTCCCCTCGATTCCTCCTCTGCCCCGTCCACCCCCTACCCCAGTGATGAGGCATGGGCATCGCACGTTTTCCACCCTTCGGTACGGCGAGCCTCACTCAATCGGTCTTTGGCAGCGCACATAGTGTGGATGTTGTGTGTGACTTTTTTCTATGATCTCAATAATGTACAGCGGGAGAGGCCAACATCACTGCTGCCACGCCTACGGTGCGCGATGTGAGCGAGGAGGAAGAGGAGCAGCATGACGTGGTGATTGAAATAGATGATGAAGTTCCGGTACAAGTTGGAGATGTCCAAGTGGAGATCGATCTTGAGATGGGAGGAGGGAGTGGGCAGCCCACTGCCACATCTGGCAAAGAGGACGGACACACACACGAAGTGTAAGTGAAATGAGAGGTGACGTACTGGAATAAGCGTATGCACGTGAAATGAAGGGTAAGAGGTAGATCATCTACATCAATCTAACCCATGATGGGTTTTGCAAGCCCAAGTAGTACCCTAAAGCCCAACATATTTTCATCCCACCCCAACCCAGGCAGTCTTCGCTCCCGCTTCAAATCCCACTCCACGACTCAATATCAGGTTATACACCCCATTTCTCCCACTCATTAGGAACTCGCATGATCATGCGATCCCGATCGAGACCTCGCCCGGGCGATGGCCGGCACTCCCAACACTTGACGGACTGCGGGATGTCGTGTGTTTGCTGAGCCCAGTGCACATCATTCGGTTCTTCATGGTGGTGACGCTGCATTGCACCATTAGCGGTGGATGTGGGGGCTCGATGCGGTTGCGCTCTTGGAAACTGTTGTGGGCTGCATTTGGAATGGTTTGGAGCTGTGATAAGTGTGGAAAATCGACGTCGCTGTGGTCGGTTGATCGTCAGCCACTGGGTTGCACGACCGACAAGCCAGGAAGGAAACGTCTCCCGTTGTTACAGCGATTCCTTGCGTCTTTTGCTCTAGCAGGGTTTGGGTATACTGCGCTATCGGAGGTTGGTAGGAATCTCGGTCTGCCCATCCCATGTAAGAGAACCTTCTACAGGTACATGAGTGGGGTAGGTGGGCTGTGGGAGAAGATCGTAGAACATGCCAACAAAAGCATGGAGGTGGTGCGTACAGCTATGTTAGCTCGGCGAGAACGTGGTTTTTGGTTGTGTGTTGACGGAAGGTGGGGCCAGCCACGAGAGGCGGAATGGTGTAGTGTTGCATTTATGGATCCCAGGTCACGTAAGATACTTCACTGTGTGACGGTGTCGAGATCCATGCTAAAGGTATCGTCGACTGAGCTAGAGGGTCAGGCATTCTCTAAGGGACTAGAAGACCTGAACAATTGGGGGTTTCCGGTGAAAGGTATCATCAGTGATGACGGGTCGAGTTTCAAAGCCGTTATCATTAAGACAGACCTCGAGCACCAGATGGACGTGTGGCACAAAGGACGTTCGTTATCACGGAAGTTTGTGAAGCACTTTGTGAATGCACGAAAGGCCGCACTATCCACCAAAGACGCGAACACTGCTGAGGATCTGTGGGATGTAAAGCTCGATGATCTCAGGGCCTGGTTGCGAGATCATCCAGGTCATGGCTTGAAGGGTCTACACAGAGCGCCAAAAAGGGAATTGATTGGTGCTGTTTGTCGTGTTCGGGGCTGGACTTTTGTGGATCTCTCCGGCGATAGCTCGCCGTATTTATACCCAGAGATGCGTCGTGTATCGTATGTGCGGAGTGTGCGCAGTAGAGGTTCGACCCGCACAACGTCTGATGCCATGTCGGTTGGTCCTGATGGGTGTTGCACGGTGGAGGGTTTGTCACGGGAGGTTGTGGATGTGCCTGTTGCACAATCTCAGCACATGGAAGGCGGGGATAAACGGGTCACGAATGAAGCGTTGAAAGGGTTTGTTGCAATTGATATTCTGGATGATGGTATCACAGAGAGTCCGGCTGATCCAGGAGGGGTGGATTTACAGTACTCCCACGTGAGAGAGTTGTGGGGATACGATCCACATCCAGAGCATGGAGTGCGGCCAAGCTCTGTGGTGTCGTTCTTCCTCATGCAGGCAGCTGCGTCAAACCATGCCGATGCAACTCGTGGCATGACGGGTGCCGCGACACGAACCAGCTCAACTTTGGGACCGCCAGGTGAGGCCCGAGCAAAGCAACTGCTTGCAGTATTTGTGTTTCGCTTTGCTTACACCCACAGCTCTACTTGGATGCCATATAAGTGCCTCTACGTTGAATTACACAATACCACAACCCCCATCCCGAATCTGTTGTTTCCTAAGGTACTAATGGTGACATCACCACGGTGGGAGGTGAGGGCAACACTGCGCCGTCCGGTGGACCACGTCGCTGGGTGAATAAGCGACCCCGCAGTGGGAAGAGGGGAGCAGACGATTCGCTTGAGGAAGATGGCGAGGAGCAGGGAGGGGTAATCGAGGAGATGACAGTGGCACAGCGATTCAGCGTACACTTCCATCACGTGATGGCACGTTGTGCTACACTCTGGCGAGCGGGCAGGCCGATGACGGCGCAGGACGTTGCTGATGAGATTGCTGTTGCAGCCGAGCATTGGGCTGGAGATCATTCACGCTGTGGCCGGGGTTCCGAGAGGCCAATATGCGTGAGAGAGAAGTGGGGTGCTGAAAGTGCATTGTATAAGCCTGGTTCCCGCACGCACATTGCTTTCAGGAAGTGGTTGAGCGAGAACTGTGGGGCTGACGAGATGAAACCATACGTGAGTGGGGAGTGCAATTGGATGAATGAGTCATTTCATTCATTGATTTGCAAGTACGCTCCGAAGCGCACCTTGTTTCGCGGAAGCATGCAAGCAAGGGTTGGATTGGCCGTAATGCACTGGAATCATTCTCTGGAGCGAGAGGTCCGAGCCACCAAAATCAGAATGCAGCGTGCAACTAGGGTCCGACGGGGAAAGACATCCCGGACCTTAGGGCCTATGGATTGGACCTGGGTAGACGATATAATGCGGGATTGGAACTGCATGACACTTGACCCTGTGACGAGTCCAATCGCCGCCAACGGCGGTGCTGCTGCTCCTTCCACTCCCCAACCACCCAACAAGCGAAGGCGTACCATCACCAGTGGATCATCTGAACCTCGACGTACACTCTTTGGTAAGTCCCCCCATATGTCTCAACGCGCATGGTGGTGCATTATACATACAAGTAGACAACACATTTGCAATGCAGTTGTGACAATTGACCTCCATTTGTGTTGTTTGCAGGAGACGTCTCCAACGTCAGATGATTCAACCTGGTGGGCAGCATGCAACATTGGGGACTGCGCCCGTATGTGAGCTCCATTCTCACCCGTCTACTCAAGTATGGATTGGTTTGCATTGCCTGCTGCATGCTGCGCCTTCCTGCATCCCTTGCTCCTGATGCGTCTGTGCTGTTTCTATGCTGCTATGGCAAATGACTACCGTTCCATCGACCCCTCCTGCTCCTGCCTGGTGTGTCCCTCCCTTGCTACCCCTTTCTGCTGGGTATGCCTTGCTGCCTGCTGCTTCCCAATGTGGATCTGCACTCGCTGCTCGGCACCTTGCCTTCCACCCCCCACACCACTCCCATCGGCCTTGCACGGGTGTATCTGCACTCACTCGGCACAGGTCTTTCAGGTTCAACCTTCCACCGCATCCCACCCCTGACTGCATTCTCACTCAAAGTGTATTACCTCCAGCTGCGCCGCTGGAGCTTCCGAGGCTGGCTCCGAGCCAATGGACACGACCCGAACCTGCTTGAGGCAACGGAGAAAAGCGGCAGGAGAGAGTGGGGAAGCGGGAAGCAGCAGGAGGGGAAGGCGTGGAGGAAAAGGAAAGATGGGGAAGGGAAGAAAGAGGTGGAAGTGAGGGGAGGATAGGGGAGAGTGGAAGGAGCAGGGGAAGAGAGAGGATAGGAGGGAGAGGGAAACGAGGTGGGACATGGAGCAATGGAGACGTTGAGGGTTCAACTGAGTGAGCAGTACACTCAGGAGAAACTCGCCCTCTTCACGTCCTATGTGGGGAAGGCGAGACTTGCCTTCTTTCCTGGCCCTCTTTTCATCCTATGTGGGAAAGGGAAAACTTGCCTCGTTTTTTTTTTTTCGTCGCATGTGGGTGGGGGGGGAGGGGAGGGGGTCTAGTCAAATAGATATGACTAGAACTTCTCGCGATGCGACCCTCACAAGTTTTGGACATGCTCAGAGCTTCTCCTTCTTCTGTTTCCCTCCTCTCTTCCCTCCATCTCCCTCCGTTCTCGCTCCATCTCCGTTCAGGAGGTGTGAGTGAGGGTGGAGAGTTGTGACAATAAGGCGCGCTCTGTCTTTGTGACACAAAGGGGGCTGACCTGGAGGATAAGGAGCGGGTGGAGCTAAGAGAACAGCTGCAGGTGGTTATTTCACTTATGAGGCGCCTCAGAAGCAAGTGGGTGCTGCAGGTGGGTGCTTGCACTTCGTGGGGGTAGAATGGTGTACGCATGTACGGCTGTACGCATGTTTGTTATAGCCTCCACAGTGGCATACATCAGTGGCAAGAGCATGGTATTTTTGACTTTGGGTTCCATGTCCAGTGCTCTATGTTTCATCGTAATCTACTGCTAGAGTGATAGGAATGGGTATGAAACATGGAGGTAACTGTTGATAGCCATTTTGAAAGGGGACTATTCGTTCATTCTTTTTTCTAGATCCCTCACCCATCCCTTTCCTGCCCTGTTCCTTTATTTGATTCTTCCCCCCCCTTTGTCTCTATTGTGTGCCACATGTCGCTCCCTCACAGGTGGAGGGAGTGAACGTCATGATCCACTATGGCAGCATCCGGCAGCTGAAGCAAGGACCATTGGACACGTGGCCCTTCCCCATTGGTCATGTAGGTTCACTTCTCGCCCGTTACATTTGTGTGCGGTGGCAGAGGTAAAGTCAAAGTGGCGGTGGCAGACTGGACCAGCAACCTGAACCCCTTGATGCACTCTATAGAGGCGCGAAGTGTGATGTATCAATGTACCGCGCTTGCCGTCCAATATACTTCCTCTGCCTCACCCTTTTGCTCTGGCCTTCCTCGCGCATGTCCCTACCTCAACCACCATTCCCCCACTCCCATTTTTTCCCTTTATCCCCTCCGTCCCATGTCCTGACCCAGCGCTCTCTGATGGTTTTCAGGATTGCAAGAACCCCACTTTGATCACTGCATATTTGCCCGCCGAGTAGCTACCTTTACAATGAAATGTAAAAAGACAAACGTGGCAAAACCTTTATCACCAAGCCACGTAGCTTCCCCAGGTGCTTCGGAGAGCTATGGCTCCCCATGCCTACACTTTGGTACCTATCGGCTCACCATATAATGTTTGTGGCATGCAAGTGTACAACGGGCATGTGAATGCTCCCTATGGTCACCCTGGCTCAAATACAGGTACTCGTTCCTCAAGACTACTACTGTTATGTGTTTACTGGCTATCACCATAATGACTACCCATAAACCCAACAAGCCCGTCACATTCAAAGTCGATCACATCTGGCATCATCTTGTCACAGTCGTTGAACCACACCACGTCGTCCTTGTCACATCGCACGTAATACCCCTCCGTGCCTGACTCTGGGTACAACGAGGCAATTACTACGTATATCAGCCATGGAAGAACCACCTGGTCATCAGAGTCATCCCCCAACAAATCAGAGTACTCCACGTAACAGCGGAATCGGTGGTTCTTCGGCTCCACCGGCACGTCGTCCACGCCCACCTCGAGGTTTGCGCCACAAGCTACTCGTATCACGCTCTCTACCGTACGTTTGGTGGCAAAACGACCAACACTATCTTCGGTGGGAAATGCTAGCCATCCAGTCGCCCACTTGCGTAGCACATCATGCTGTTTTGGGAATCGCAGCAAAAGAGGGGATCGACCAGCAAAACAACGGAGTGCTAATGATCGGGGGTAGACCGGAGCGAACACGGACGCGTCGAGTGGGCCCGGGCGTCGGTGTGCTCCGAACGCTGCTTGTTTGAATAGCCGCTGCTGGTGCTTCGGATGCACTCTCACGCTGGCTCCCATCCTCGTTCTCTTCGAGATCGTCCTGCTCATCCATGCGTACCCCTTCGGGCTGGCGACGCATGAGCGCTCTACAGCGTGGCCTGCCAAAAACATTGCCAAGTATCACTGACAGAGTCAAAACCTCTAACATGCGCTTGAAGGATGTGCGGCATGGGACTATGAGCTGAATGGGTAATATTCACAATGTAAACGGGTTACCTAGCAGGCCATCCAGTCCGGATGCGCTTGGCCGTGCCACTGCCCGTGCCTCCTTGATGTGACATTTGCTCCACACTCCATACTGGGTGGAAAGAGTTGCAGACAAAGTACGGGAAGGCGGGGAAGAGAGAGGGGATAAGATTGGAGCTAGAGTAGGGATATGACCAGGCCTGGGATGAGGGCGCAGAGAGGAGTGCGCACCTGAGATGAAGGCGCAGATGGGCAGGAAGGGGAAAGGCGGGAGCAGGGTGTAAGGCAGAGTGGGTGGAAAGGCGGAAGGAGAGGTAACGGAGGGTGGGGAGAAGGGAAAGAGGGGGTAGGGCAGATAGCGGAATCGGGGAAGCAGGACGTAAAGCACCGAGGGTGGAAACATGGAAGAAGGGGGTAAAGCAGAGTGGGGAGAGGGGGAATAAGAGCGTAAGGCAGAGAGGGGACAGGGGGCAGAAGGGCGTAAAATAGAGGACGACAGGTGGGGGCGAAAGGGGGGTACGGAAGAGAGGTGTACGGGAGAAGGAGGGTGAATGCCAGAGAGCGAAAGGGTGATGACCATTGTAAGGCAGAGCGGGTGGAAGGATGGAAGAAGGGTGTAGAGAAGATAGGGGAAAGGGAAGAGCAGGGCGTAAGGCAGAGAAGAGAGAGGGGCAAGCAGGGTGTAGGGAAGAGAAGGAAAAGTGGGTTTAGCAGGAAATCAGGGGGAGAACGCACGGTGGGGGAAGAAGGGTGTGGGGTAGAGAAGGGAGAGGTGGAAGAAGGGTGTAAGGCAGAGCGGAGTATAGAGCAAGAGGGGTGTAAGACAGAGAGGGGAAAGGGGGAAGAAGCTTGGAAGGAATAGGGGAAAAGGGGGATGAAGGGCGTAAGGCAGAGTGGGTGGTAAGGCGGTAGAAGGGGGTAAGGCAGAGTGGAGTATAGAGCAAGAGGGGTGTAAGACAGAGAGGGGAAAGGGGGGAAGAAGGGCGCAACGCAGAGGGGGAAAAGGGGGTAGAAGGGTGTAAGGCAAGGGAGCGGAGAGGGGGATGAAGGGTGTAGGGAAGAGAGGGTAAAGGTGGAGGCAAGGCGTAAGGCACCAAGGGCGGAAACGTGGAAGAAGGGGGTAAATTAGAGTGGGCAAAGGGGGAAAAAGGGTGAAAGGCAGAGATTGGCGAAAGGGCGAAGAAGGGCGTAACGCAGAGACCTTATGGTGGGGGAAGAAGGGTGTAAGGATGAGAGGGCACGGGGGGGGAATGGGTGTAAGACAGAGAGGGGAAAGGGGGAAGATAGGTGCAAGGAAGAGAGGAAAAAGGGGGAAGCACGGTGTTTCTCTGAGCCGGCATTGTGGGGGAAGAAGGGGGTAACGAGGAGTGGGAAAAAGGGGTGGATGGAAGTGGGGAAGAGAGGGGAGATGGGGAAGAAGGGTGTAGGGAAGAGAGAGGCCGGAAGGGGGAAGCATGGCCTAAGGCAGAGAACGCAAGTTGGGGGTAGAATGGTGTACGGAAGAGAGGGGTAAGGGGTAAGAAGAGTGTATGGAAGAGAAGGGAGAGGGAAGAGAAGGGGGTAAGACAGTGAACGCTAAAAGGGGGAAGAAGGGAGGAGACAGAGGGGAAGCAGGGGGTAGATGGAGTTTAGGGTTGCAATGTGGGAGATGGACAGGGGGTGCTGTTACTAAACAGCACGGAGGGGATTGCGCGTGGGTGGCAGGGGAGTGAGCGTGGGCGCCCTGGAGGAAGGAGCGTGTGTGACGGAGGGTACGGCAGGGGTTAGAAGGGTATGCGATGGGGGAGCACGGGGGAATGAGGGGGAGAACGGCGGGAAAATGAAAAGGAGAAGGGAGGGCAATGAGCGGGATAAAGGGGGGGAGGGGAACCCAAAACTGGTGGATATGGAACCCCGCAGGGGGGTTGAATGAGGGAGACAAAAGGGGAACCCTGGTCCGGTCTCATGTGGGGCAATGGGAGGGAGAAGGGGAGGAAACGAGCAGGTGAATGGGGGGGAAACGAGAGGGGGACAGGGGGGGAATGAGGGGGCACATCTGGGGAAAAGGGAGAGAGAAAGGGGGTAGGTGAGCTTGGGAATGAGGGGGGAATGAGATGGAGAATGGGGAAAACCAGGAAGGAGAATGGGGAGACATAAGAGGGGGACGGGGGTAGACGAGAAGGGGAAGGGGGAAACGATAGGGAGGAGATGGGGAAACGAGAGGGAGAAGGGGGAGTGAATAAGAGGGAGAAGGGGCGAAACTGAGAGGCCGCGAATGGGGCAGTGGGAGGGAGAAGGGGTGAAAATGAGCAGGTGAAAACGAGAGGGGGAAAGGGGGGGGGGGAAGGAGGGGGCACATCCGGGGAAATGGGAGGGAGAAAGGGGGGAAATGAGCTTGAGAAAGGGGGGGGGGAATGAGAGGGAGAATGGCGATAAATGAGAAGGAGAAAGGGGGGACATGAGAGGGAGCATGGGGGGCAATGAGAGGGAGAAGGGGAGGAAATGAGCAGGTGAATGGGGGGAACGCGAGAGGGGGTAGGAGGGGGGTGGGGGGGTGTGGAATGAGGGGGCATGTGAGGGGTAAAGAAAGGGAGAAAGAGGGGATTACAGACTGGATAGGGGGGGGGATGAGAGGGAGAACGGGGGAATGAAAGAAGGGGAAAGGGGGGACATGAGAGGCAGCACGAGGGGAGATGAGAGGGAAGAGGGGCGTAACTGAGAAGGAGAAGCGGGGGTAATGAAAGGGGCAAGCGCAGGAAACTTCAGGGGGAAGGGGGGGAAAGGAGAGGGAGAAGGGAAGGGGGTCATTTTAGGGAGTCGGGGGAATGAAAGATGGGGAGGCTAGCACACGGAATGGCGAGCAGCATGACGTGGAGATAGGAGGGACGGCTGGGGAGATAGGGTGGCGTTTAGCGGGAGAGAGGGAGAGGGAAACGGGGACTGGGAAGGCGCAACGGGGAGGTGGGAAGGGGTAATGGGCTGCGGGAAGTGTACGTTACAATGTGTGAAGGGGGTACTTGCTGCGGGAATGGGAATCGGGGTGGCGGATAGGGGAAATGCGGGGCGGGGAGGGAAACCGGGGAGCCGGGAAGGGGTAATCGGGACAAGGGAAGGGGGATTGAGGTGGTGGAATGGGGAATAGGGGATGCGGGAAGGCAAGGGGATATGGGGAAAGAGAGAAGGGGAACGCGAAACAGGGTGGCAAGAAAGGGAGATCGTTTGGCTGAAAGTGGGGCTTCGGAGGCACTTACCGGTACGCGAGGTACGGTGCGACGCAAGGGAAATAGGGAGGCGGACAAGGGAGATGGGAAGGCGCTTGGAAGGGGAGAAGAATTGGCTGGACGGGGAGGCCGTTTCGGCAGTCCGTCGCGGAAACGTTGCGGCTGTCTAAACGTTGCGGAACCGGGGTAACGAAGCTGCGCGAGCGGGAGGCGACTGTGGGCGTGCGAGATCCCGCTGTTAGGCAGTTTCAGATGCAGAGTGGGCGTTCAAGGTGGTGTGAAGAGGCAGCGAGGTGCGGCGACGCGACGCAGCGACGGACAAACGGGGCGAGGCTAATGAAACAACACCCGTTGTGATCGCCTAGGCGAGGTTACCCTAAACTGGTGCCGGCTAGGCCAGAAGCAGCGTTTTGATGCGGCGCGAAGAGAGTGGTAGGTGTTCCGGATGCCGCGTTTGAAAGCGCGCGGGCGCAGCAGGCGCTGTCTCAATGTCGAACGCGTGTGATGCGGGCGAGGCGAGTGTGAGAGCGCGGTTCCCGCGTTGGTGGCCTAGTTGTGGCGACCTGCGTATCTACGATGTTGGCGGCGTATCAAGCACCCTGGCCTGAGTCCTGAGTAGACAGGTAATTCGTATACTTTTGTGGTTTCAAAAGTTTTGAACCAGATCTGGGCTTGAGATGGTGCGGGGTGTCGGGGGCCGTCACCTCCCTTGTGGGACGAGACAAATTCGCTGTAATAGGGTAACCAGTTTTCAAATTTCTAAACTTCTGAAACTCCCACTTTCAAATGTATACGAAAGCTTTAAGCGAGTTACCAAACGCGTTGAAATCGTTACCGTACGCGTTATAGTGCCCCATGTAAGTTACCATTGACATATTTTCCCCTGAAACAATTTCGAGTCCAATTCGACAAATTCGATCTTCGCTTCCCTTTTCCCGCCTCTGGGGAATTCCAGCTTGCTTATTAGGAGCCCAGCCCAGCCCAGCGAGGTGAGGGGACTGCTGCTCCTCTTCCCTCACGTCTCCAATTCCAGTCATCGATATCTCCGCCATATGGCTTGCTCAGGGGTAACAACGCTACTGTCATTATCGTAGCACAAGCTTGGTATAGACAACGATGGATGGCCTTGTCTTCCAATAAAGTGGGTTCAATGATGAGCATTTCCAGGCGAGGACTGACATTAGACTTGCCATGGCGTGGGAATCGACGCAGGCTCGAAGGCGCTGGGTAGCTAAGGCGGTCAAGGGAGACGAGAAGGAACGTTCTCCTCGATTCGATATCGTTTCGGCGCTAAGATTGTGGGAATCATACTGGACATGGGCTAGAGGATTGCTTTCGAGTCTAGTGACGTGTGCCTTGCGCACGGCCCGTGCTCTTGGATCCTCCGTCTCCTCGCTTCGTTTCCAGCGCTCGCCTCGGATGCCCCGGTATCATACGCGATGGTTTCCCCGCGATTCTCGACCGTGCGATGCCTGCGATCCATCGTATCGACTCGTGTACCTTCGTTCGCGACGATCATGCGTATCACATTCCTCGCAGTCATCGCCGCATGATGACAGCAACTCCCGTCATGTGCTTCTCGTATCACGTCGACGATCGCACCATGGCCGCCAACAGCAGAACGAATTCCAGTCGCTTCATGGGATCGATAAGCTTGAGCAACTTCTGGAGAAGGAAGCTCGGTTGCAACTTCGATTGCAACCTCGATTGCAACTTCAGCTGCTCTCGAGTGTTTACCGATGTCACTACCTCGGTGGCGACTGAAACGGGTCGAGCGCCTCGATTTCACCTCAAGTTAAACCCACTGGCAGCACAGCACGCGACTCGTAGAGGAACGGATTAGCTCCCTGATTTCACATCGACTAAGAATCCAGCCTGGTCGGTACATTTCCGTACAGTGATTGTGATCTGCAGAGCTATTGAAAGGTTGGTTATTGTAAGGTTGGGGAGCTACTGAAGGCCAGAGGAAGGTGCTTACCAGAGCCAGTAGAGTACACCTATACATGCAGGTCCTCAGTTCTCAAAACCATCCTCTGCTCCCAGAGTATTGGCATTTCGGCAACTTGACAATCAGCTTTTTCTCACCGTTCCTGTCAGAGCGGGCTTAAGTGCGTTACCCACTCAGACGCGCGCAACAGTAACAACTGCTTTCCACGGGATTTGAGGTTGCATGCTCTTGGCTCAGATCGCCGTTTCTTCTACAGGCAGTGACGAGTCCTTGGCACAAACAACAGCACCTTGAGAGCAGACCGGACAACTCCTCGTCATCAAATCTCTGGACTCTCGTCTTTTGAGAATCTTAAAAGCCAATCCAGTGGCAGGGGACCGCACAGCTCATCATCATCAGAATCTCTGGTCTCTGGTGACTTTTGAGTATTCTCAAAGGTCAATCCAGTTAGAAATAGGATCGGGCATCGTCTACATCTCTGGTATCTGGTGCTCCACTAGCAGCAAGCGACTCCGTGGCTCCATCTGCCATCATGAACGGAGTCTTAGACCTGATACCCACGGTCCCCTTGCGACCAGGGAGAGATGTCTCGGGGCAACGATCACTGCCCAGTTCGCTTAAGTCACGCCTGCTTACAGTCACCGCGCTGCCTGTGGCTCTGTTCTCGCTGCTGCTGCTGGTGATTCTCCCCCTCTGCGCCTCCTCTGCTTTTGCGGAACCTGTTCGGGGCGGGCTGTTGCAGAGGAGTGGACACGTGGCAGCAGCGGATAGGGAAACAGTGCGTGAGGGATCGGTGGAAGAGGGTAGAGCAAAAGGAGGGAGACGGGGGCTTCAGCAACAGCCTGGTGGATCAGTACCAGTATCATCGCCAGGGGAGATGAGCAACAGTGGTGCTGCCAGTGGTGGCACTAGCGCCGGTGCTGCGGGTACCTCTCCTCCTACCAGTAGCAGCAGCGGGAACAACAGTGGTGGCAGCATTAGTGGCACTGGCAACGCCACTGCTGTTGGTAACGCCACTGGTGCTGGTGCCCCCACTGGGGCTGGTAATCTCACAGGGGCTGCTGGCAATGGCACGGAGGGGGGTGCGGTGCGGTACTTCACGGTGGGGCAGGAGGCGTTCGTGTGGGGGTCTCCTCTCGTCACCTTCTTCCGCCAGCAGGCCACCCGTGCTGCCCTCAACGCCTTCTCCTTCGCCAACACCACCGCCGTTGTCGGCACCACCAGTAAGTAGAACTCTCTTTTTTATGCGACTGTTTCCTTCGCCAACACCACTGCCGTTGTTGGCACCACCAGTGAGTTGAACTCTCCTTCTGATGCACTCGTTTGAAGCATGTTCTCGATGCCAACACCACCGCTGTTTTCGGCACCAGCAGTGAGTCACTGGCGCATCCTTCGTATGCATCATTCCTGCAGAGCATATTATGATGCGATTGTCTCTAACACACACACCATCCCCGTCGTTGCTACCACAGTGAGTCTTTGAGAGAATCAAGAACTCGCATTCTCATACCTCTTCCTCCCTTCCCCTTCCAGCTGTGGCGCTCCCCAATGTGGACACGGTGTATGGAGGAGCCTTCCTCTACCTGAGGGACCAGCCCATGGTGTTCAAAACCCCCAACATGGGCCAAGGCCGTTACTACAGGTCAGGGGCGCTCTTATGGGGTATACTGCTACATGCGGGTGGGTGGGTGGTGCTGGGTGCTGCTACTTGTGAGCTCCTGGATTGGACCTACAAACCAGGCATTTGATGGGTTGTCTAAGCCGCTGTTTCTTCTCCTCACACCCCTCCTCCTGTCCTAATTGCAGCATCGGATTCTTCCAGACCTATGGCCCGGCGTTCAGTGTGAACGGCAGCCGAGCCAACGGGCCAGGCCCCAACACGTTCACTCTAGTCGGGCCCAACTGGGCAGGGGAGCTGCCGGGTGACCTTGCACCCACCGCCATACGGGTGAGTGGTGTGTTCATGAGTGGGTATTCCTTAGGGTTGTGTTCGTTAGGGCGGTATTTGTTCGCCTGTGTTTGCTTGTGCAGGAAACCTTTGGTGTTTATGGCAGTCGGTGCGGGTTATGGGTTCTCCCCTCCCCTCTTACGCTCCTTTCCTCTCTGCTTTGTTGCTATCCTTTGTCCTCCCTTTCTTCCCTCAGTCCCCTACGGTACGGACGATGCACTCCTGTTGATGCGAGAGGTTGTGCAAATCGAGTGGTCGTGCATATCCTCCTCCATCCCTTTCCCCACCCTCTCTCCCCCACTCTCCCCCTACCCACAGTCTCCCACCAACGATGCGCTCCTGCTGATGCGAGTGGTAGTATCAGAAAACGTGTCCAACGACATTGCTACAGTGCTCGACCTTTACAGTCAAGTCTCGCTACAGTCACTCTCAGAGGCGCTAGGCGGGCCTGCAGTTGCGCCCCTCCCCAATCCGCCCCTCCCCAGCTCCAACCTCTCCGAGGCCCTCCAGGTGAGTGAGTAGTGGCCCTTGTGCTCCCTCGAATTAATTAGTGGCCCTCCAGGTGAGTAGTGCCCTCCAGGTGAGTAGTGCCCTCCGGCGAGCAGCAGCCGCCCTTCTGCTCCCTCCAGGTGAGCAGTGGCCCTCCAAGTTAGCAGTTCCGACCCAGGTCACATCACGGTTTCCCAGTCACGTTTTCCCTAGTCCGTCTAGTTTCCTTCAACTTGACAAGCTACTTACATTTCTTCCCTTGGATCAGTAGCAGACTGCCTCGACCATTCCTTTCCAAGCCAGCATTCTTCTCCAGTTTGCTCAATAATTTATTGCACCTTCCCATCGCCCGTGCAGCGCATGACTCTCATTGGCGATTGGCTTCAGCGGGATCCGCCCTTGAATAACAGCGCCAACAACCGTGTCGTGCGCATGGTAAGATAGTGCATGTGGCAAGCTGATGCTGCTGTTGGTGCTGGTGGGGATATGGCAGGTGGTGTGAGGGAAGAAAGAATGTGTAAGGCAGTACTGTAAGCTGATGCTGATGTTGATGCTGACATGGCACGGAGAGGATTGAGGGGATGGATACAGAGAGAAATTGAGTGAACCTTACAGGTACGGTGAAGGTAGCTCCTGTTGATACTGTCGCCGGCAAGTATTGAGGTGTTTCAGAATCGAGTTCAACTACGCCCGTCAATCAACGGGGTTGAGGGGTGAAGGTAGCTTTTGTGGGTGTTTTTGTGGTAGCTTCAGGTCGAGTTTTTGCAAGTACGGCTTCGATTCGACCTGAAAAGAGTGACTTTTGACTCAACTCAGAAGTTACAAATGACACACTTTCCTCTCTTCCCACCCTCCTCCCCTCCCTCCTTCGCCCTCCTCTCAGCTCGCATCCATCAACGTCACTCAGCAGTACGGCTTCGAATCGAACCTTACAGCATCACACATCTTCTAATGCGTGTGCCCTCTCTCACCGACCTACCCAGCCCCCGTTTCCTCCCCTCTACTCCATCGTTTCCCCCCCTTCAGCTCGCCTCCATCAACGTCACCCAGCAGTACGGCTTCGAATCGAACCTTACAGCATCACACATCTTCTAATGCGTGTGCCCTCTCTCACCGACCTACCCAGCCCCCGTTTCCTCCCCTCTACTCCATCGTTTCCCCCCCTTCAGCTCGCCTCCATCAACGTCACCCAGCAGTACGGCTTCGACCCCTACAGCGTCAGAAGCTTTCTTTCTACGTCTGCCCTCTCCCTTCCGTCACTACCCTGCGCCGCACACCCTCCTCCCTATCTCTCTTCCTCCTTCCCTCATAACAGCTCGCGTCCATCAACGTCACCCAGCAGTACGGATTTGACCCCTACAGCGTCACACACACCTTTCTTTGTTCAACCTCTCCCTCCCTTCCTTCTCCCTCCCATCCCTCCCTCCCTCCTATCAGCTCGCGTCCATCAACGTCACCCAGCAGTACGGCTTCGACCCCTACAGCGTGACACAGCAGCAGGCAGCGGCGTTGGAGGCAGCAATGCAGACAACGGACACGCTCATCACGGCAGCCAACGTTGTCATTCAGATCAACGACTCGCTCATTCAATCGTGAGTGCCCGGGGGATCCCGCTGTTACAGCAATACGGGTTCAAACCCTACAGCAGCAGCATCGTTGGAGGCAGCAAGGCAGACAACAGACACACTCATCACGGCAGCCAATGTCGTTATTCAGATCAACGACTCGCTCATCCAAAGGTGAGTGCCTGGATGTTACAGCACTATGGGTTTTTCCCCTACTGCATCACACAGCAGCAGGCAGCAGCACTGGAGGGGGCGAGACAGACAACAGACACACTCATCACGGCAGCCAACGTTGTCATTCAGATCAACGACTCGCTCATCCAATCGTGAGTACCCAGGAGAACCTGCCACATCTTCTCTGTGAGAACTTCTCGCACCCTCCTGCACCATGACTTCAACACCGAGCTCCTCTACCGAGCCACCCCCTTGCGTTTCTTCTCATCCCCTTCCTGCCTCTGTATGTTCTCCTCTCCTATCATTCATGTCTCTGCATCTCCCAGTGAGAATTTCTGGGCGGCGTCTCACACCCTCCTGGGCCATGACTTCAACACAGAGTTCCTCCACCGAACGACACTCACTCGCCTTGCTTTCTCCACTCCACCCATCTGTGTCATTCTTTCCCCCAGTGAGAACTTCTGGGCGGCGTCTCACACCCTCCTGGGCCATGACTTCAACACAGAGTTCCTCCACCGAACGACACTCACTCGCCTTGCTTTCTCCACTCCACCCATCTGTGTCATTCTTTCCCCCAGTGAGAACTTCTGGGCGGCGTCTCACACCCTCCTGGGCCATGACTTCAACACAGAGTTCCTCCACCGAACGACACTCACTCGCCTTGCTTTCTCCACTCCACCCATCTGTGTCATTCTTTCCCCCAGTGAGAACTTCTGGGCGGCGTCTCACACCCTCCTGGGCCATGACTTCAACACAGAGTTCCTCCACCGAGCCACCCTCACCTTCCTTCCCACCACCTGTGCTAACCTCTGTGTTTTCTCTTATCCATCCATCTGCCCTTTCCTCCCAGCGAAAACTTCTGGGCAGCGTCTACCACGCTCCTGGGCCACGACTTTGAAACAGAGTTCCTCTACCGAGCCACCCTTACTGCCCCGGGCGGCATCGGCGGACTGCCGCCCACAGAAGTGGTTTACTTCCTCACCTTCCTCGCAGTGGTGAGCTGCCCTCCTAGCCTTCTCGATCCCTCTCAATCCCTCTCTATTTCAAGCCCGCCTTGCTCATTTCCAAGAATATCTATTGGGCCACTCTAACTCACAGCACCAGGCGGAAACGGCGGGCTGCCCCCCACAGAAGTGGTTTGCTTCCTCACCTTCCTCGCAGCGGTGAGCTACGCTACCACCCTAGCCCTCTCTGCTTTTCATTGGCCCACCCTCACTTGCAATTGAGAAAGGCATTGCGGGTTACCGCCCATTCAAGTGGTTTACTTTACTTCCTCACCTTCCTCGCAGCGGTCAGCTACCCACAGACGTGGTTTGATGCCCTTTCTTCCAAGCTGCCCCATCTGTGGCAGTTCTACCCATGCCAATACTGAGGCACCTCGAGAAACCTTTCTGAGAACTCTCAATTATCGCTCACAAGTTCTATCTTCTCTCCATCCTGTCAATGAGGCACCTTTCCAACAAGTTCGCTCACAGGTTTCTCTCCATCCTGTCAATGCGGCCTCTTTTGATCTTGCTTTCTCACCATCCTTCGTCTTCCCCCGCCCTCCAGGTCACCCCATCTGTGGCAGCCCTTCAACCAGCTGCTACAAATGCATCCAACACCACCACTCCTCCCACCACTCCTCACACCACTCCACCTTCCCTTCCTGTCAACACAGCATCCCTCTTTTGATCTTGCTTCTCTGCCCATCCCCCCCCCATCCCTCTCTCTCCAGGTCACCCCATCTGTGGCAGCCCGACAACCAGCTGCTACAAATGCATCCAACACCACCACTCCTCCCACCCTGCCACCTTCCCTTTCTATGAACACAGCACTCCTCTTTTGATCTTGCCCCCCTCTCCATCCCCCCCCATCCCCCGCCCTCCAGGTCACCCCATCTGTGGCAGCCGTACAACCTGCTTCTACAAATGCATCCAACACCACCACTCCTCCCACCACTCCTCACACCACTCCACCTTCCCTTCCTGTCAACACAGCATCCCTCTTTTGATCTTGCTTCTCTGCCCATCCCCCCCCCATCCCTCTCTCTCCAGGTCACCCCATCTGTGGCAGCCCGACAACCAGCTGCTACAAATGCATCCAACACCACCACTCCTCCCACCCTGCCACCTTCCCTTTCTACGAACACAGCACTCCTCTTTTGATCTTGCCCCCCTCTCCATCCCCCCCCATCCCCCGCCCTCCAGGTCACCCCATCTGTGGCAGCCGTACAACCTGCTGCTACAAATGCATCCAACACCACCACTCCTCCCACCATGCCACCTACCTCTTTTGAATCTGCCAACGCTACAGCCTCTCCTGTCAGTTCCACAGCCGGCAACAGCAGCACAATGAGCAACATCCGCGCTGAAAACACCACCACCACAGCCAGCAGCGACACCACAGCTAACAGCAACACCACTGGAACCCAGCCTTCTCCCCGGCTTCCTAGTATCCCCTCCCCACCTGCAAACAACACAATTTCCTTGCAGCCTCAGCCTTCCTCCATCTTCCCCTCCTCCATCCCCCTCTCCTCCATGCCCTCCCCACGTCGCCCCTTCACGCGTCTCCAAGGCTCCCGCTGCTACCGCCTGCGCCTCACCCCTCCCCCCGTCGACTCCTTCTGGTCTGTCACCATCTATAACGCGTCCAACCTCAACCTTTTGGAAGGAGTCAATAAGTTCGGTGTGGGTGACCGTACCCCGGGATTGATTGTGAGTCTCTCTTGCTTCCCTATCCCTCCTCACATGTTTCTCTTTCTTTCTTTCTTTCTTTCTTTCTTTTCTCCTTTTTATTCTCGTTTCTTCTCCCTCTCGACTCAACTTAAGCCCGCCTGCCACACCTGACCCAGCTGCTGGCTCATCTTTCGCTGTCAGATCTCAATGGTTTCCCCCTCCGCACCGCTCCCCCCCACAAATCTCGTGCAACCAACCAAACTTGTGCTGTCCCTCTCACTGCAGTACAACCCTGACACTACATTATGCTTTGACTCTGACTCGCAAACTCATTCCCTCGCCGTGCAACCACACCTGTGCTGTCCCCCTCCCACGCAGTACAACCCCGACTGCACTCTCACCATCTGCATTCAAACCACTTCTTTTTCTCAATTACTTGGTGCTGATTGGATATCCACTGTCAACCATCGTCCCCCCGTGCTGTCCCTCTCACTGCAGTACAACCCCGACTGCACTCTCACCATCTGCATTCTGCTTTGACTCTGACTCGCAAACTCATTCCCTCGCCGTGCAACCACACCTGTGCTGTCCCCCTCCCACGCAGTACAACCCCGACTGCACTCTCACCATCTGCATTCAAACCACTTCTTTTTCTCAATTACTTGGTGCTGATTGGATATCCACTGTCAACCATCGTCCCCCCGTGCTGTCCCTCTCACTGCAGTACAACCCCGACTGCACTCTCACCATCTGCATTCTGCTTTGACTCTGACTCGCAAACTCATTCCCTCGCCGTGCAACCACACCTGTGCTGTCCCCCTCCCACGCAGTACAACCCCGACTGCACTCTCACCATCTGCATTCAAACCACTTCTTTTTCTCAATTACTTGGTGCTGATTGGATATCCACTGTCAACCATCGTCCCCCCGTGCTGTCCCTCTCACTGCAGTACAACCCCGACTGCACTCTCACCATCTGCATTCTGCTTTGACTCTGACTCGCAAACTCATTCCCTCGCCGTGCAACCACACCTGTGCTGTCCCCCTCCCACGCAGTACAACCCCGACTGCACTCTCACCATCTGCATTCAAACCACTTCTTTTTCTCAATTACTTGGTGCTGATTGGATATCCACTGTCAACCATCGTCCCCCCGTGCTGTCCCTCTCACTGCAGTACAACCCCGACTGCACTCTCACCATCTGCATTCTGCTTTGACTCTGACTCGCAAACTCATTCCCTCGCCGTGCAACCACACCTGTGCTGTCCCCCTCCCACGCAGTACAACCCCGACTGCACTCTCACCATCTGCATTCAAACCACTTCTTTTTCTCAATTACTTGGTGCTGATTGGATATCCACTGTCAACCATCGTCCCCCCGTGCTGTCCCTCTCACTGCAGTACAACCCCGACTGCACTCTCACCATCTGCATTCTGCTTTGACTCTGACTCGCAAACTCATTCCCTCGCCGTGCAACCACACCTGTGCTGTCCCCCTCCCACGCAGTACAACCCCGACTGCACTCTCACCATCTGCATTCAAACCACTTCTTTTTCTCAATTACTTGGTGCTGATTGGATATCCACTGTCAACCATCATCCCCCCGTGCTGTCCCTCTCACTGCAGTACAACCCCGACTGCACTCTCACCATCTGCATTCTGCTTTGACTCTGACTCGCAAACTCATTCCCTCGCCGTGCAACCACACCTGTGCTGTCCCTCCCACTGCAGTACAACCCCGACTGTACTATCACCATCTACATTTATGCTTTGACCCGACTCAAAACACACTTCCCTTGCCTCCCCCAACCAACCCCAACCAAACCTGCTCTGTTGGCCCCCACGGCAGTACAACCCTGACGGCACTCCCACCATCTACAATGTGCTTCAAATCTGACTCGACCCGTCCCCTCCTTTCGCCTCTCTCCCCCAACAAACCCCTGTGCAACCACATCTGCTCTGTTGTTCCCCCTCTCACCACAGTACAACCCAGACGGCACTCTCACCATCTACATTCAATCCACTCCGCCCGGCCAATCGCTTGAAGCCAACTGGATTCCTACTGTTAACTCGGTACGTCTGCTTTTGCCTGCAAGCTGCATTGATTCTTTCTCATCCTTTCTTCTCCTTCCCTCATGTTTTTTTAGCTCTTTTTACATCTCATACGGTACCCTCCTATGTCAACATTGCACCTGTGTCTGCAGACCAACAGTGCAGCAGTGGTGAGGGCCTATGGCCCTGCTCCCCAGATTCTGAATGGAACATATGAGCCGGAAGCGATCCAGCTTAGCCCTACATGTTAGGCTTTGCAAGGCAATGCTTGAGATGAGAATATCTGTCTTGTTGCACCATTGAGAGCCTACGGCTCTTCTCCTCAGGTTCTGAATGGAACAAAGGTATGAGCCGGAAGCTATCCAGCTCAGGACTACATGCGAGGTCTTGCAAAGCAATGCTTAAGACTTGTTGCAAGTTGCTTCTCAAAGATTATTCATCTGTGCATGAACCGAGTTCATCAAATACCTTCTTGTGGAGTGTAATCATTAGTGTTTGGTCAGTACCATGCCATTCTTTTAAAATGAATGGATAAGATGTGGAATGTGTACGGTAAGAGCAAATCCATGCATGATTTTGCCTCGAGTGTCACATAATGCACTGTGCAAGTCACACGCCATGTCAGACCGAGGGACGGGTAATAAGATTTTGAACCTGAGAGAACGGGATGAAGTCCAACTGGTGCCCTGAAAATCCAGCACACACCGTCAGAGACCTAACTGACGGTGTGGTGGTGGCAAGGGATTACCATATGCATGCGGTGTCCATTCATAGCCTAGCACCTACTACTGGTATATGTGGGATGGGAAGGTGGGAGTACCGGTAGTGCATTTCCTTCTCCAGTAACCATTGTAAATTGTGCTGGTACAGTACCAATCGGTTGCTTCATTCCCCCAACTCCTGAACTTGAACTTACAATATTAGGCATTAATATGCAATATTGGAGCAAACATGACCAAAATTTAATCCACTGTTGAAGTCACCATTGAACCGAAGTGTAGAAGCGTCTGTGGTGGTTGGATTTCAACACTGCTTAATAAGCTGAGTTCAGGAAAACAGCTACACCAACTAGCGCTGCTAGAATGCCCGCCACCAGCACTGGGAGCGAGTCACTGATAGGGAGAGGACGGGGTCAGGGGGAGGATGGGGATAGGGAGAGGATGGGGAGGATGGGGATTGGGGGAGGGCGGGGGGAGGGGGAGGGTGGAGGTGGGCGTGGGGGTGGGGAGAGGGAGAACAGGGCAGTGTGGGTGTGGGGATAAGGAAGAATGAGGAGGTAACCAGGATTAAGGGGTGAGGTAGCAAGGAGGTAGAGGAAGAGAAGGGCACTGATGAGACAGACAGCACAGGAGAAAACGTTTGAATCAACGCAGCGATCAATTAAGAGCGGTATTGATGAGATCACGAGAGAGCATACTGCACACACGAGAGGAGCAGGGATGGAGGCACCAAGCAGAGGGATGAAGCAGTTGAATTTTGTTGGATTCGAAATGCAGCAAGCCTACTAAGAGTAACGATCTGTAGTACTGAGTCTACTAATCTGAAAATCGAGGGAAGTAGTGAGAAAAGGTCTACTAATTAGAAAGCCAGACACATTAGGCCTGGATGTCGCGTGTGAACGTGTTTCGGCCAGCAAAGGCCTTCATCAGCACACTAAGGATCAAGCAAACTGACTACGAATCCTTTCTACTCCCTCCCTCCAGGAGCCATCAAGCTGAAAGCTTCTTCGTGCGACTCCAGTGAAGCGCGCCTCCAGTGAAGCGCCTTGCCAGCTACTGATTCTAGCTGTCAAGTTAGACAAGTACTCATGCACCGTGGGAACCTCCAGGAGGTTGGTCACCATCTATTGGGCGACCACCAACTGGTTACAATTCTTCCCATCTACACTATTTTAGCCTTTACTAATCTATTACAAATTTTGCTAGGTAACTGTAACGAACCGAGGGTATCTAAGTCCATGATGCTGCAGGGTGTTTTTGAGAATTCTCAAAAACACCGAGAGGAGCAGGGATGGAGGCACCAAGCAGAGGGAGGAAGCAATGAGGGGGGAGGGACGGGGGACGAGGGGCATGGGAAGAGGGGCAGGGAGGAAAGTGGGGGGGAAGGTTGAGGGGGAGGGGGTGAGGGTGAGGGGCAGGGGGGAGAGAAACAGCAAAACAGGAAGGGAAGCGGGGAGTTGAGAAGCAGGGAGAGGAGAGGCAGGAATCAGGGCAAGAGCCGTGTGCAGTAGAGGGGAAGGAGAAGGCGAATAGGAGGGAGAAGAGGAGGGGCGGAGAGAAGGGAACGGCAGGTTGGGCAGAGAAACGAGGAAGAAATTACAGAAGGGTGGTGGGGGAAAGAAGGGAGAGGGATTGGGCAGTGGGGTTTGGGAGAGAGAGAGAGGAGAGAGGGAATGGAGTGGGTGCTGGGAAGGGCCAAGAGGGGAAATGGCGGGCCAGAATGGTAGGACTGATTGGAAGGCCTTTCCCCTCTGTATACCCGCCACCTCCGCTATTCCTCCGCACCTTTTGAGAGGCTTGTTTGACGGCTCTTTCCCCCACACTCCCCCATCAATCCCACGCGTCCCGTTCCTTCCTCACTCCCCCGTCACTTCCCCCACACCCCTTCCCCCCCTCTCTCACTCACTTTCCTGCATCCCCCTTTCCCCTCACCTCCCCTTCCGTCACTCCCTCCCAGTCCCACCCCCCCGCCTATCCATCCCCCATCCCTTCCTCCCCTCCCCCTCCCCTTAACTCACCCGCCTCCCCCGCCCTGCAGCTGCTCCTTGCGCTCCTTCCGCACCGCCAGGTCGTTCGCGTTGCTCCCCCTCTTCCCCTCCGCCCCCCTTTCCCCCCCCCCCCAACCAACTCACCCGCCGCCTCCCCCGCCCTGCAGCTGCTCCTTGCGCTCCTTCCGCACCGCCAGGTCGTTGGCGTTGCGCCCAGCCCAGTATCGCCCCCTCTTCCCCTCCGCCCCTCTTTCCCCCCACCCCCTAACTCACCCGCCGCCTCCGCCGCCCTGCAGCTGCGCCTTGCGCTCCTTCCGCACCGCCAGGTCGTCGGCGTTGCTCCCCGCCCAGTCCAGTCCTCCCCTTTCACGCACCTGTCCCTTTCCCCGTCCCTTCCGCGCATCCCCCATTCCCCCCCCGACTCCCCCCGCCCCCACACCCCGTCATCTCACCCGCCTCCGCCGCCCTGCAGCTGCGCCTTGCGCTCCTTCCGCACCGCCAGGTCGTTGGCGTTGCGCGACACGGGCGCAGTGTACGGCTTGAAGCGGCGCTTGGGCGCGGAGCACACTGGCGGAGTGTGGGGGGGACGGAGGGGGAAGGAGGGAGAACGGGGGAAGCAGGGGGAAGTGGGTGAGAGCAGTTGGATTTGAGACGACGGGCTTGAAGCGCCGCTTGGGGGCGGAGCACACTGGGGGAGGGGGAACGGGGGGGAACGCGGGGCCACGGGCGGGCACGGGGACGGAAGGTGGGGGAGAAAGGCGAGAGAGGAGTGGGGAGGGAGGGGGGAGGGAGAGGGGTGAGAGAGGTTAGCGGATGGAAGGGGCATGAGGGGGTGTGCGTTGAGTGGAATGTATCGCACTCAACGCACACCGCCTCATGCACTGGGGCGTTGAGTGTACGACGACAGAAATGCTGGGGCGACGAAGCACATTAAATTAGTTATTGATTAGCAGTATCGCGTATAGACAGATTCGGGTAGCGAAATGCGCTCAACACGGAACTTAAACCGCATATCTTGTGGTCATTATCGTGTATGCAGTTGGTTAGATTACTAAATTGACTCGAAAAGGGCCGGAAACGCGCCTGGACATTTGCACGCTTCTAATTCTGTAAAGGCGCCACAAGGTCGCACCTGGGCACTAATAGGAGTCGAATTCTTTGGAGGCGCCTCACCTGGGCACTTGTAGGTGTCTGGAAGCTTCTCGAAGGGCGACCGCGAGTTGTAGATATACCTGCGGGGAGCGAGGGAGACGCGCGCGCAGGGGGTGAGACAAGGAAGAGCGAGGAGAAGGGGGGGGAAGGGGGGGAAGGAGAGGTGGGGGGAAAGAAGGGGGAGAATGGGGTGACGGGGACCCGTGCGCAGGGACGGAGGCAGGGAAGCACATGAAAGGGGATGGGAACACGGACACGCGCATGCGTAGTCCACTTTCTTTGAAAAGACAAGATTAAGTAGACCCGAAGCGGCACGGCAACAATGAAACGCAAGCGCTCACCCGCAGTCCCGGCAGATGTACGCGCTCGCCATAGTCACACGCGGTGGACCGGAGGCGCCGCCCGTTAGTGTCAACGGCGCCGCGCCAGACACGCTGACAGCCGCCGACGAGATCGGGCCACGGGAAGAGCGGAGCCCCGCGCTGCCCGCGAGAAGTGGCGACGCGGATTTCGGCTTGGCGGTAGCGGGAGACGCGGCGGCGGCGACGGCGCGAGGAGCCGACGCGACGGAAATTGCGCAAGCCATGGCTACTGCTATTTCTTTTAGTTAGAACAAGAGAGAAACTGCGTGGGTCCGAATGGAAGGAGGATGCGATGAGATGCGCTCCCGACGAGATGCGATGCGTGCGTACGAGAAGGTCCAGAAGGACAGCTGAGTCTGGCTGTGTAGGAGAATAGAGCGAAGCTGCCGCACGGTAGTGTGTCTCTGCAATGTGGGCACGGGGCTAGCACAATGCAGCGAAGCTTGAATAGCGGTAGCGATATGCTATTCTCCGTAAACGTCGCAAACGCCCTGAAGCTGATCAATTGCCTCGATGTGTGCTTCTGGTGTTTTGCTTCACCTTCTGGTCCAAATTTTGCCAGACTAGTGTCATGCCAACGGATTCTAGGACAAGAGAGGAAGGACCGTTCAAGAAAACGTCCACAACAATACGAATCCCAGATTTGTTAGTTTTCGTATTTCGTGTCACTGGCTGCGAAATGCAATTACTCTACCCAGCTTGGTTCAGAGAAACTTGATGTGGCGCTTAGCTATGAGACTTGCAGGACCGTCGGCTTGAACACGCACCGCACTGACACTTTAGAGGATGGATGGGTGGATTTAAACGAAGGGTGAGTATTGTCCGACGGAAGCGCCCCAGCTATATCGGACGGTCAATAATTCGAGATAGTGGTTTGCACGGGTGACTGGATTTGGATGTGAATGGATGACGAGGCGTGGTGACGGTGTGTGGCTGTCCAGATTCTGTCGACGCGGATGGATCCGTCCACACGATCAACAGGATGACTGGATGACGCGTGGTGAGACGTGTGCTGGATCCATGTGGCATGTGCCTCACAGGCTCCTGGTATCCACGCTAAAAGGTTAGTTTTTTGTGATGGGAATGATCAGTGCTTCTACACTCTCAAAGGTTCACATTTTCATATTTTACACACTCTCCCCAGTTATACTTGGAATGTTTTTTTGCTCTATAGACGAGCTGGGACCTGTTCCAGCCAGTGCATGTCACCTACGGCGACTATTTCGGCAATATCAGGGCGATTCGCGCGACACCTATCATCCCCTTGCAGATATCATCGGCTCTGGTTGTGATTCGTTGAGAAAACGCATTCGAAAGGCATGCAGAACCGCTAAGGTCTGCAGTTGCGACAGGAGCATCAAGTTTTCATATTGGCCCAATATTTCAGAACTACTTTGTGGATGACACATGGACTCGAGCATCAGCCACCCGTACTCCTTCTGCATCAACACGAATGGTAACCAGACGATTCTCGCCAGTCGTCATTGATATTTATGCTGGTCGCAAACTCCCGGGGCAGCAAAGAAATAACGTCTTCCTCAACTCCTCCCTTGCCTCGTCAATGCCCCATCCCTCAGATTGGATATTGATGGGACGGAGGAGGCAAAGGGGTCGAGGTTCGTGAGGGGGAAGGCGAGAATCTCGTCCCTCCCTACCTCGTACAACGTGGTGGATCAGCTCAAACTCACACCAGTGAGTGCGAGTGTGTGGAGCTACATCAAGGATAGTGACAAGGTGAGAAAGGAGCTGATAGAGGCCTTAAAGAATGGGGAAGAGGAGAAGGAGATAGGAGCAGCACCAATGCAAGGGGTGGCAAAGATAGTGGCAGCCGCACCGGTGGAGGTTAAGGAGAAGGAGGCACCAAGGGCTAGTAACCTAGTTTTTCAGATCCCACAGTGCGACGTGTATTTGGGGAAGCCTCGGGTGACGGCTATAGTCGATTCGGGAGCATCACAAACCGCCCTATCACATGTGATAGCTAGGAAGCTCGGACTACTACCATACCTTCAAGATACCACCATAGAGTTCACTACCTCTAGCGGAGATACTTCGAAGCCGTGGGGAATCCTACCGGATGTGCCGGTTAGGGTAGGGAAGCTGACTCGACCAGTAGACATAGCAGTGACGGGAGCGAATACCTACGACATGCTCTTAGGGCAGGATTGGATCTATTCGGCCAACGCGGATATCTTGACTAGTAAGGGGAAGATAGTCTACCAGGTTAACACCAAGGAAACCGACTCCGTTCCCATCACCACGGGGCCTATGGGAGTTGGTGGCCGCCCCTCCTATGTGCTCCTCCCCTCCCATACAACCCACAGGAACATCAACGAGGAGGATGAGGAGCGCATCAAGGAATGGATGGAGGAGCAGGACTTCCTCAAGTGGATGGAGGAGAGGAGGGTAGCCATGGCAGAGGAGGACGGGAGGTTGGAGTTGAACGCGGAGGAAGAGGATGCGTATTATCTATGGCTAAGGGAGCAAGAGGAGGAAGGAGATAAGGAGGAGGCTTCAAGTGAGGAGGAATCTGAGGAGGAATCTGAGGAGGAGGAAGAGGAGGAAAAAGATCTTAAGGTGGTAGACGGAAAAAATGAGGATTGGGGATATGATTTCGGGAGCCCAACGGCGGAGGAAGTGGGAGCTTGGGAGAGTGCAGGTTTGGGGATCGATTGGGACAAGGAGTATGATGAGATGGTGGAGAAGTACGTGGGAGAAGAGGATGAGGTCGAGTGGGAAGTTGACTCGATGGCAGATGGGGAGGAGTACTTGGATCAAGATTGGGAGGATGGGGAGCTGATCTACGATAGGAAGAGGAAGCCGATTAGCACGGACCATCTCTTCGAGATGTACAACTACCCGGCAGCCGAGAAGTGGAATTACGTGGCAGCCGAGAGTGGGGACGAGGGGAGAATCATCCTAGGTAGTTACTACACCCTCAAGAAGGAGGCGCCTAGAGTAGCTTGCCCTGCGTTCGAGGACCTACCCGTTTCATTGAACCACGAGCTAGAGGAGCAGCAGCAGAAGGAGGTGCGGACGCTTTTGGTGGAGTATAGGGAGGCCTTTTCCACGGAGAAGGAGACACTAGGGACCCACCCCACCATCCGCCACCACATTGCCACCGGGAGTGCCAAGCCGATAGCCCACAAGCCGTACAGAGTCTCACCTTCCGAACGCGCTAGAATCGAGGAGGAGGTCCAAACCTTGTTAGAGCAAGGAGTCATTCGACCGTCGGATAGCCCATGGTCATCACCATGCATCGTCATCCCCAAGAAGGACTTTGGGGATAGAGTAGTCATCGATTACCGCCCCCTCAACGCCGTGACCGAAGCCGCCGACCAGTTCCCCATGCCGCGGATAGATGACATCCTCGATAGAATGACGGGATCGCTCTATTTCTCGGTGCTAGATGTGAAGTCCGCCTACCACACCATCCTTGTAGCAGAGGATGACATCCCCAAGACAGCCTTTGTTACCTCCTCGGGTCAGTACGAGTACGTGCGGATGCCCTTCGGGCTTAGGAACGCACCCGCCACCTTCCAACGCCTCATGAGAACCACATTCCGCACCCACAAAAATGCCATCCCATACCTCGATGACATCATTGTCTTCTCCAACAGTTGGGAGGAGCATCTTGAGCACCTGCGGGACGCATTCGAGAGGATCAAGGAGAACCACCTCTTGCTGAAGCCGAACAAGTGTGAGCTGGGTTTTTACTCCACCATCTACCTAGGTCATTTAGTGACACGGGAAGGAGTGAAGCCGGACGGAGGGAAGGTGGAGGCGATTAGCAACATGGCGGCGCCGGTGGACCAGAGGGGCGTGCGGGAGTTCCTGGGGTGCACGAGCTACTATAGGAGGTTCATCAAGGGGTATGCCAAGGTGGCGCACCCTCTCACGCAGCTGCTACACAAAGACCACCCCTTCGAATGGACACGCGAGTGCGAGCAAGCCTTCAACACCCTCAAACTCGCCCTCATCTCCCCCCCCATCCTTGCATTTCCAGATTTTTCCCAACCATTCATCCTCCAAACAGATTTCTCGGCCAAGGCACTAGGGGCGATATTGGCTCAAAAGGACGAGAAGGGAGCAGAACGGGTGGTAGCATATGCAAGCCGAACTACGAGGGGAGCGGAGCGGAATTTGTCTTCAACACACGGGGAGTGTTTAGCGGTGGTGTGGGCGATCAAACACTTCAGGCCCTACCTCTATGGGAGCAAGTTCTTGCTGCAGACAGATCACCAAGCACTCCAATGGCTCATGACGGCGAAGGACCTCACGGGGAAGCTGGCTAGGTGGAGTATGTTGCTGCAAGAGTACAATTTCACCATCACCTACAAGGCGGGAGAGACTCACAAGAACGTCGACGCATTGAGCCGCATGCAACAGGGGTTGCATCTTCATGCGGGGGGGGAAGCACCATTCCATTGGCATGCATACATCCCCTCACCCACCCATCCCATCTCCCACACCAGCTACCCCATCCCCATGTACACATCCCTTTTTCCCAAAGAACAGGGTGAAGACGAGGGGGAGAGTAGTGAGTCAGTGACCAAGGGAGAGAAGGAGGAGGATAGCAAGGAGGAGGATAGCACAGAGGAGGAGGAAGCAGATAAGGGGGACGAGGAGGACAATGAGGAGGAAGAGGGGAATAGCACGGACAAGGAGGAAGAGGACAAAGAGAAAGGAGGGGAAGTAGAGGAGGAGAGTAGTGGAGAGGAGGAAGGTGAGGAGACCGGAGAAGAGGAGGAGAGCTTCGAAGAGGGGCAACGGCCGGATGAGGGAATAGAGGAGGAGCAGCTGCTAGAAGAGATAGGGCAGCCTAAGAAGAAGGCAAAGGTGGAAGGAGAGGAAGAAAAGGAGGGGACTCCTAGTAAGAATCTCGCGTCCGAGACCATCCTCGACATTTGGGATGACGCCAACACATTGTTCTTCCTGGAGAAGGGGACGGTTGATCCGGCGTGGAGCACGGTAGAGAAGAGGAGGGTGAGGGCAAGAGGAAAGAACTTCGAGTGGAGGGATGGGAGGTTGCTGAAGAAGATCAAAGGGGAGTTGAAGTCGGTACCAAGGAATAGCATTTCTTCATGGGTTAGGGCACTTGGGGGTGCCGAGGACCACGGACTTGGTGAAGAAGCAGTATGATTGGTACGGAGTGGGGAGTGATGTGGCGGCGTTTGTGAAGGGGTGTGCGACGTGTGTGTTTCAGAAGGGGGCTTGGACGGCGAAGGGAGAACTGCAGCCGGTACCGGTCTCGAAGCCGTGGGAGAGGGTAGTGATCGACTTCATCGGGCCTCTCCACACCACGGCCAAGGGAGGGAACAAGTATGTCATCTCGGCCATGGATCACTTCACCAAGTGGCCGGAGTATAAGCCGGTAAGGAGTGCGGACGCGGCAACAGCAGCGGCATTTGTAGCGGAAAAGATCATCTCCAACCATGGTTGCCCACTAGTGATCCACACCAACAATGGGTCTCATTTCAAGGGGGAGTTTGGGGTGCTGCTGGAGAAGTTTGGGATCTACCACGAGTTCTCTCGTCCCGAACACCCTCAAAGCTCGGGGCTCATCGAGAGGTTCCAACGGACCTTGAAGGGGGCGCTGCTGAGACTTGGGGAAACCAACCCCTTGGAATGGGATGAGAACATCTGGTGGGTGCTACTTGGGTACAGGGCCTCTATCCATTCTTCCACCAAGTTTTCCCCCTTTTTCCTACAGTATGGGCGTCACCCAAACATCACAGGCACCACCATGTCGGAGTTCGAGGTGCGGGAGCTGTCGGAGTTATCCACGGAGGAGGAAGCGGATGCGGTGGCAAGATATCTCTATAGGAGGTCTTCAGAGATGGAGCTAGTGTTAGCACAGGCAGTGGGGAACCATGACAAGGCACAGGAGAAGCAGAAGCTGGACTTTGACTTGAGGAGGACAACGGCCTTAGAGATGGAGAAGTTAGAGAAAGGGGACTTTGTCCGACTCAAGCCAAGTAAGAGGGTGGCGTGGGAGAAGCAGGCTAAGAAGTTCAAAACGCTATTTAAGGTAAAGGAGGTGGAGCAGTTCGATGTAGTGGTGGAGGATAAGGCGGGAGCTTCATGGAAGGAGTCTCGGGAGAACGTGAAGCTGGTGAAGATAGCACCTTAGAGACACACCCCCCCCCTTTCCCCGCGAAGTATAGGTAACGCCTATACACCCCCACTCTCCCCGCGAAGTACAGGACCGCCTGTACACCCCCACGATCAAGCGCTCATTAGGTTACCTACTCTCGTTCAAGCAATCTTAGACTACCAACGACCAAGGCGATCGGGCGAGCAACGGCGAACAAAAGAGATCATAGGTTACCCTAGTTTAGATTAGCCTTCGAATCGGAGTCGGCGACGACTTAGGGTGAGCTCGGTGACCCGGGCGACGTGCGATCAAGAGATTCAAACCCTCTCTCCTCCTCCTCTTCCAACCATCCATCTTCCTAATCGAGAGACGGGGGAGCTTGCGACCCGATTGATCCTCGCTTTTAGGGCATCTACAGCCATGGAGGACGACTACTTTTATCAACTGCTGGTGGATCTTCTCCAAAGGAGGGTAACGTTCGACTACTCACCTACGTTGGGGGAACAACGAGGCAACATGGAGGGGTTGGTGTTTCCGGACCTGAGCATCGATTGGGAGGAGATTTGTGGGGAGGAGCCTTTCCACTTGGTCTTTTCGAGGGTACTGACCAACGATGGCGAAGGAACGGAGGGGATAGTACGGTTACAGTTGGTGGATAAAGACGATCCCCGGTTAGAAGGGAGGAGTTTGGACATAAGGAAAGGAGGAGCTAAGTTGGCCATACGGTTTGGGTGGGTATCACGGGAGATCACATGGGAGGATCTGAAGTATATCACGGAGGTACGGATGGCCTACAGATGGTGTGTGGAGAGACGGAAGGTGGTGCCACGGCATGAGGAGGAGGGAGAGGCGTTCGTATTGCCTTGGCCGTTGATTGGGGTGGGCACGGACTATGAGATAGTGGAGCAGCCATGGGACATATAGCTTCCTATCCCTAATAATTTCCTCCCCCAATTCAACGAGAACTCCAATCTTCTTCATATCCTCCCTCACCCCTATCTCACCAACCATTTCATCCATTCTTTCCCGGACCCCATGGACCCCTACTACGGCTACGAGACATGTCCCTTATGGATGCCTACCCTAAACCGCGACATCTACATCTTAGACGGATACCGCCCCCATCGAGACCATCTATACGACTCCGACGACTACCTATCTTCTGAATCTTCCGACTATGGATATTCCCCATCCCCCCCACGACCTCCTACACCATACTCCCCTGCCCTAGACTCTGAGCATGATGAACCAACCATTCCCTCCTACCCCTCATATACCCTCCTCCGACATGAACCAACTACCCCACCTTCACCTCCCTCTACCCCCATCATCTTACCTCATTCCCCACCCCCATCCCCTTCCTCACCTACCTATACCCCCTCCTCATCTGATTCACTCCCTACCCCCCTTCTACCCCCTGAGGAAGACTATGCCCTGGCTAGGTATGTGGTGATGGTACCCATGGAATACGAGTTTGAGCATGGAGAGATCTTCTTGGCACCGGATGGCACTAAGGTTCGGCGTGCATGGCAGGTTGAGTGGGTGAGTGGACCAGTTGTGGTGGAGTCGCATTATCTTTTCTAAGGTGATGAGAGAGAGAGAGAGAAAGCCTTTAGAGGATGGACTGGATTTGGTGAAGTAATGAGAGGATGGTAAGACCTCATGGAGTGGAATGGTATGACCCGGGATATAGGGGGTTTCTTTTAAAGTGTGGTATTGAGTGTGCCTTTGTGTGATTTTGGTATGGTATGTGGGGAGTCTTGGGGAGGTACCCTCCCTTGTGTCGGGAGCCACAAGACCGCGTCCGAGAAAGTTACATTTGTAACTTAAACACTAAACTTCTAAAGATAAATCCCATGATCTTGGTGAGGTCTATTGGTTTGAGTTTACCCTCGGGTTATTTATAAGAGGGTTGGTACTTGTGAAGGGTATTTTACTAAGGTTTACCCCTTATTCTTATGCATGTAGCTGGGATTTGCATTAAGGAGGATGGGCTGGTCATAAGGAAGGTTCTTTGGGAATAGGAGTAAAGGGAAGGTTCCTTGGAAGGTGGGTGGTTGGAAGCTTCCTTGGTAGTGGCTATGGGAGGATCTATTGGGGAAGTTACTTGGAAGGCAACAAGGCAACAAGGAAGGCAACAAGGAAGGCAACAAGGCATCAAGGAAGGCAACAAGGAAGGTTCTAAGGTGGAGATTCCCTTGGAGATATGGGTGAGCTCAACAGAGCACTCTCATTGGTTGGTTGGATTGCTAGGATCTTCGGCCAATAGGGAGAGGATTCTTAGGATTGCATGAATAAGATAGAAGGATGGTGGTTTGGGCATGCCCTTCCACTATATAAGTCCTTGTAGGTTGTGTGTAACTCATATTATCATAGTGCATTCTCACCAATGCCACAAGCTCTCTCAACCTTCTAGCTACCTTGTACCTTGGCCCACTCAAGCTACCTTGGAGTATCCTTGGAGTCTACCTTAGGAGGAGCATCCTTTCAAGTGGAGAAGAGCCCGAGGGGAGGGCTGAAACTCTACAAGGAAGGAAGTGCTATCCAAGAAGGGAGTCTCATACTACAAGTGTTGTAAGAGAGGTCATACGTATCCGGGTGATGCTCAAGAAGGGTGGTCAGAAAGTTTTAAAAGTTAGTGATTTTGTGGTGGCCCATACAGGTCCCTCTCTCCCTTTGGCTGAGAAAACGGACCTTGTGCGTGATTCTACTAACAACATGTCGACGATTGCTGCAGCTATGGGCCAGCTCCCGTGCTTCGATGGACGCTCTCCCGACCCCAAGGTGTGGCAAAGCCAAGCCAAGAGGGCGTTGAGGTGCTTCCTCTCGAACACGACGGACGAGCAGAAGTTGGACTACCTCCTCATGCACCTCACCGATGCTGCCTATGTGTGGGCGGAAAGCAAGGACTTCAAGACGGTAGCAGGCTTCGAGTTGTCCTTCAGTGAGCGGTTCGTGTGGGAGTCAACGGCAACGGTGATGCAGAAGTTAGCGGTGTTGAAGCAGAAGAAGGGGCAATCAGTAACGGAGTTGGCGGACGAGGTAAGGCAATTGGCCTCGTACGTGAAGGAATACCCGACCGCCATGATGGTGAGAGCCTATATTGAGGGGTTGGAGGACCAGGGGTTGAGGGAGAAGGTGTTGGGAGCTAGGCCGGTATCATTGGAGACAGCGGAGGAAGCAGCCAAGTACTTCGTATCGTATGCACAGCCAAAGGAGATAGCAAAGGAGGAGAAGAAGGTGAAGGAGGAGACGGAGGTAGAGAAGATCACGAAGCAGTTGGAGCGATTGACCATGCAACTCACGCAGATGCAGCAAGGTAGGGGACCTGGGATCCTACCTAGGCCGGGAGGAGGAGCGGGAGGAGGTTTCAAGTGCTACCAGTGCGAGAAGGAGGGGCACATGGCAAGGGAGTGCCCTAATAAGGGGAGGGTAACCATGAATGTGATGCAGCAGTTAGTGGAGAAGTCTAGACCCGCCATGACCATAGCGGAGTTCTTAAATGGCGAGGAAGGAGGAGTAGATATGTTGGTGGGAGAACGGAAGCGGCGAGCAGTTAGGGATCCGGAGGGATGGGGCATTGACGAGGCAAGGGAGGAGTTGAGGAAGAAGCTGGTGAGTTGGCGGCCACCAACTCCCATAGGCCCCGTGGTGATGGGAACGGAGTCGGTTTCCTTGGTGTTAACCTGGTAGACTATCTTCCCCTTACTAGTCAAGATATCCGCGTTGGCCGAATAGATCCAATCCTGCCCTAAGAGCATGTCGTAGGTATTCGCTCCCGTCACTGCTATGTCTACTGGTAGAGTCAGCTTCCCTACCCTAACCGGCACATCCGGTAGGATTCCCCACGGCTTCGAAGTATCTCCGCTAGAGGTAGTGAACTCTATGGTGGTATCTTGAAGGTATGGTAGTAGTCCGAGCTTCCTAGCTATCACATGTGATAGGGCGGTTTGTGATGCTCCCGAATCGACTATAGCCGTCACCCGATGCTTCCCCAAATACACGTCGCACTGTGGGATCTGAAAAACTAGGTTACTAGCCCTTGGTGCCTCCTTCTCCTTAACCTCCACCGGTGCGGCTGCCACTATCTTTGCCACCCCTTGCATTGGTGCTGCTCCTATCTCCTTCTCCTCTTCCCCATTCTTTAAGGCCTCTATCAGCTCCTTTCTCACCTTGTCACTATCCTTGATGTAGCTCCACACACTCGCACTCACTGGTGTGAGTTTGAGCTGATCCACCACGTTGTACGAGGTAGGGAGGGACGAGATTCTCGCCTTCCCCCTCACGAACCTCGACCCCTTTGCCTCCTCCGTCCCATCAATATCCAATCTGAGGGATGGGGCATTGACGAGGCAAGGGAGGAGTTGAGGAAGACGTTATTTCTTTGCTGCCCCGGGAGTTTGCGACCAGCATAAATATCAATGACGACTGGCGAGAATCGTCTGATTACCATTCGTGTTGATGCAGAAGGAGTACGGGTGGCTGATGCTCGAGTCCATGTGTCATCCACAAAGTAGTTCTGAAATATTGGGCCAATATGAAAACTTGATGCTCCTGTCGCAACTGCAGACCTTAGCGGTTCTGCATGCTTTCCGTCCCATCAATATCCAATCTAAGGGGGTGTCCAGCTCGTTCATTTACTGTTCGTAAATCCCTACAGTTACCACATTTTGCGTTGTAACACTGACTTTTACAAAAATTCCAGACGCGTGCAGCTCCCGTTCACGTTATGGCACACCCCCTGCACGTACCTCGAATCGTATGACGCACGTAACTGGAATCAGCGTGCGCAACGAACCTAGGTACAGCACCGCGTCCTGCCCTCTACAGTGAGTGCCCTTCGGATCGCCCTCACGATTTCGCCAGTGCCGCCTGACGCTCGCCAAAACCACCTGCGCTCTGGCCTTCGACATTGCATGACATCTCAAATTTAGAAGCGCATCATAAATCCAGATTCGCCAACACAGCAAAAACCAACTCGTCAAGCATGTTGCCCACATTCAGCGCAAATCTTGCAAGCGCCATGTACGGGCGTTCAAACTTAACGTAGTACGTGACTACCGACGCGCCCGTCTCTGATGGCGGGTTTATCGCAAATCCCAGTCGAATTTCGGGCGACACGAAGGTGGTCTTGATGCGTACCGCCCCTAGTAGACATTAGACGACTAGAAGCACACTGGAAAACTACTCACTACTTAAGTAGATCATTACACACTGAAATTCACCAAGCTTTCAAACTCGAGTATACTAACCACACAACAATCTTATTAGACCCGTGCCTACACCTGTCTACTATCTGCATTCAAACCAACTCCATGGAGGCGACAAACACCCTCATCGGTACCGAAGAATCAACTGCACCCGGGCTACCTACCACTACTCCTGCACCCCCCTCTATTGTAAGCGCCGCTGGTGATAACCCGACTGCCGACCAGAGCGACCACAACATCGACGACCAGGACCTCTCTCCCGATGGTGGGCCTGTTGTTGATGACTCCGGCGACGTCGGGGTCCCGCTAGTCCGCTCTCCTGGTGTTACTAATCCCAGGGACGATCCCACAAGCCCGCGTGTGCACTGGACGGCCACCGAGATGCTTCAGCTGGTGCAGGCCAGGGTCGACCTGGATCCTGACTGGGATCTCATGCGCGGAGTTCAAGGTGCCAACTACTGGGCTGCACTCCACACGCTGGTGCTTGAGCGCCATCCGCGTTTCCGTTTCAGCCGTGCGGCGATCAAGATCAAGATGCTGCGCATCGAGGCACAGTACAGGCAACTCCGCGACAGGCTGTCCCGCTCTGGCGCCGGAGCGATCCGCTACTTCCCTTCGTGGTACGGATTGATGGAGACAATTCGTGGCAATCGCCCCGGAGTCCAGCCCGTCCATCGTGTGACTGCTGCGACGATAACCACTCCTACCACCAACGGCCCCAATGGTAAGCGGTTTCCATAAATCATCCCGCCAGTGCATTCCTGATTCAAAGCATCTACACATACATGCCGTTCTAAAATTCAGCAAAATCCACAACACTACCTACACCAGACCATTACTACGTACCCCATCGACATCACTAACCACACCACACTCCATTTCCTACGTACCCCAACAGCCGTGACACATGTCGGCCCTCTTCGTGGAAGGCCTGCTGTCCGAGCATCTACTACTACCACTGTCCCCACTAGTGTGGCTGCCACCATCCGTGCCGCTACGACTGGTGGATCGGGAAGGAACACGCGCACTTCAACGACGGCCGTGAACTCCCCGGTTACGCCCTCCGAGCCTGTTTCCCGCACGCCTACCCCACACACTCCTACTACAGTGGTGCAGACTCCAGCAACCGCGACTACTCAGCCCACCGCTCTGCCATCGGGGCCATCACCTTCCGTTCCCACCGCGTCCCCCACGACCTCCGCGGGTAGGACGGGGACGCCTCCTGCAGGGGGGTCACCAACACAGAGCAACGGAAGGTCAACGGCAGGCTTGATTGGTGTTGGACCGGAAGCGGCAATCGCCACGGTCATGGCAGAAAGCATCGCGAGCGCTATAAACAGTGCTGTGGACCGTGCATGCGACAGGTTTGAGAGCCTTACCCGGTCGTTGGTCGGGTCATGGCCGGGTGAGTCCGAGCCCAGGATGAATGGAGCTCGTGGGCCAAGCGTTCACGACGGAGAGCTGGAGTAAACCCATCCGTCTCAGGCGTGGTGTGGACCGCTTCGGCTGCCGGGCCTTCCAGCCACCAACGGTGACCTTCGCGAGGGGCACCGGCGCGAGGGCGGCTGCTCAACGTGTTCTCCAGGTTGTGTAACACCACGCAAGCCCCCACGGTCCTGGGCACCTTGCGGATGTTGGCCTCCATGCGCCCGTCAAGGACCCGCCATTTCCCTTTCAGCCTTCCGTTTGTTTGCTCGACTATCATGCGCTCGCGACTCTGCTGCTTATTCCATGTTGCCTCTATTGTAGAGGACTCTCCTCTACTTTGCAGGAACTGGGAGTTGTTCTAAACGATAGAGCTCTGTCTTAGCTTTCCAACGAGCCGTCAAACACGTCGATCGCCTAAGTATTCTCCGAGATATAGGCGTTCACGTGCTAGGTGGTGCTCTTGAATGCAAGTAAAGAAGCTCTCTGGAATTTGTGTTCGAATGTACCTTGTACAAAGAACTCTGAGTTTCACTATGATGGCATGCAATACAAAGAAAACAGATTTATAGCATGCAAACAAGATCGAATCGCACAAGTAACCTCGAACCGCTACACTCGCGAATGTTCGAGTAACATCGAAAGGGTGAAATTCGACTCTCGAATTTCACCGATCCGAATTCTCCTTGGGTCTCGAATGTTCCTGGTGCTGCCATGTGGCACCGAATCGAATGGGTCTTCCGAAGTCAATCCTCAACCCCACGCAAACCTGCAACTCACTCGAAGGTGAGCACAAGTCACACATTCGGTGGGTTGGGGGCATACAAACGCCCCACCACCACCTTGCTTCCAACACACGTAATCTCCAACACTCCCCCTTGCACCCAACCCACTAGGTGTGCAAACCAACATGCTCATAGCATGCACGGGATGAATCTTTAGGGGGTGGTTCCATGAGAGATTTCGCGTGTTCATCATCACCCTTGGTTGCGAAGCAAAATGCCGCGCCCTCCTTATCCGTCTCCCCAACGGCTACCGTAGCGTAGTCGTTGTACTTGGAGGGAGGACGAACCTCACGACGCTCGCGGGTCAAGGCCAATGGTAGGGAGGAAGGTGTGGAGGTAGTTGCCGCCTCGGTTGGTGACACCTCCACGACATCATCAATGCTCTCCTCGTTGTTCGCTCCCCCTCCATCGGCTTCCTTCTCCACTTGAGGTGGAGTCTCACTCTCTTCATCCTCCTCTCGTGGCGGAAGGATGAAGGTGAGTTGTTGAGTGGGTTTCTCCTTCGACGGGAACTTGTCTTCATCGAAGACCACGTCCCGAGACGTGACGACGCACTTGTCGCCCAAGTCCCACACTCGCCACGCACGCTCGTTCGCCGCAATTCCCAAGTAGATCGCCGCACGAGCCTTCGGTTGCAACTTGTGGCGAAGGGGATCCGGTACATGGTAGTAGCAAAGGCACCCAAAGGTGCGAAGGCGGGATAGGTTCGGCTTCGTTCCGGTCCATGCTTCGAACGGAGTCATTCCCGGGAGCACCTTCGTCGGCAAACGGTTGCGAATCCACGCCGCTAGCGAACTCGCCTCGCCCCACCACTCTTTCCCAAGATTGGAGTGTTGAAGAAGAGAACGAACGGCTTCCACCAACGTGCGATTAAGCCGCTCCGCCGCTCCATTTTGTTGGGGTGTGTAGGGTGTTGTGACGTCGTGCTTAATGTCCTTGCACTTCATCCATTTCTCGAGCTCCGCATTCACGAATTCGCCACCACCATCGGTGCGAATACACTTGATCCGCTTCTTGTCATCGTCGCAAACTTCGAGCGCCCACTCTTGAATCGCCTTGACCGCATCTCCCTTAGCCTTCAAAAGTCGGGTCCAACACATCCGCGTCGCGTCGTCGAGCATCACTAAGAGGAACCGTGCTCCTCCCTTTGATGCATGCCGCATCGGTCCACACACGTCCATGTGAACAAGTACAAGCAGGTCCTTAGCGAGGGGTGACGTTCGGCTACCGAATGGCTTGCGAGCCATTTTTCCTTCGACACACGCCGTGCACACGCCCTTCTCGTCGTCGCCGGCGATCACGTCGACTCCCTTCGCAAGTCCTTTGTTGGCCAACTCCTTGACCGAGTCGTAGTTGGCGTGCGCAAGCCGATTATGCCACGCCTTGAGAGTCGCCTTGGAGCCTTGCGCCACGTTGGATGAAGCCGCTCTCGGGTACGTCTTGAGTTGGTAGATATCTCCGTTGAGAACACCTTGCGCGAATTGCTCCCCCTTCCAAAAGAGGTTCATTTTCGCACCGTCGATCGTGGCGATCACTCCCTTCTTCGCAAGTTGCGGGACGGATAGAAGGTTCACCTTCACCCCCGGGATGTGAAACACGTTCGTCACGTCCACCGGACCGCTATCGACGATGAGGCGCGTACTCCCAACTCCGACCACCGGTAGCGATTCGTTGTTTCCGAACACGATGCTCGTGACGTCTCCCGGAGCGCCAATGTTGTTGAGGAGCGACGCCGAGTGCGTCATGTGTTGCGTTGCGCCGGTATCGAGGAACCACGCGTCGCTTGGAGTTTTGTTCCCGTTGCCGGCCACTAACACGAGCGACTCCTTTGAATCATCGGCCTCGCCGGATGCCGTGTGCGCGTTGCCCTCTTGGTCCCGCGCCATCGATGGAGTCCAATCGCTCGGCCGCTTTCGACACTCACGCCAAAAGTGTCCCGGTTTGCGGCAATAGTGACACTTGCCGCGATGCTCGCTCCCACCGGACGATTCCTTCGTTGCGTCCTTGCTCCACTTGGACTTCTTTCCGGAACTCCCTCCGGAGTACATGGCGGCACCCTCGCTCTCATTAGCGAATTGTCGGCGACGCGATTCTTCATGGAGAAGCCGACCAACCACCATTTCCTTCGTCCAAGTGTCTTGCACGCTATCGAGTGTCGTAATCACCGTCGACCACTCTTCCGGAAGGCCGCAAAGCAAGGTGAGAATCCAATCCTCCTCCGTGACCGTTCCACCGAGGTCCATGAACGTTTCCCCGAGTTCCTCCACACGAGTCGCAAACTCGTGCATCGATTCGCCCGCGCGCATCTTCACCGTGTAGAACGCATTCCGGGCTAGGATCTTGCCGTGGAGAGTCTTGTTCACGTGGATGGTCTCGAGCCGCTTCCACGCTTCATGCGCCGACGCTTCGAGCTTGATGCACATGCGCACCGAGCTCACGAGATTGATGCCGATGCGCGAAATCAACGTAGCGAACGCCTTTTGGTCCTTCTTCTTCCATGCCGCGATGCCGCTCTCATCGTCCGGCTTCTTCTCCGTTCCATCGAAGAAACCCCAAAGTCCCCGCTCCATCATGAGCACTTGGAACTTAAACTTCCACGCGGAGTAGTTTTGTCCCGTGAAAATCGGTACCGCCGACGTGTCGAACATCGTCGCGGTTGCCCAGGGTTCGCCGGAATTTACAACGACACCATCCAAGGAAGTGCGGGAGGCCTCGCTTGAAGTCATCATGCGTGCTCCTTGTCGCGCGCGTAGACTCCTCCGACCAGCTCTGATACCACTGTTGTAGAGGACTCTCCTCTAGAGCTCACCTGGAATTGTTCGACGGGAGCATTTGGGATCGATGAAATGCCCTCCATCATTTTGTGTTTGCGGGACGTAAGCGCATGGGAGGGATGTAATGCCCTCCAACATTTTGTGTTTGCGTGACGGAAGCGCATGGGAGGGAATGATTGCCCTCCACGAATTTTGCTTGTTTGATTGGTGCGTATGGGCGGGCTGGAATGCCCTCCTCGAATTTTGATAGTTTGATTGGTGCAAATGGGAGGGCTGGAATGCCCTCCAGGTGTTTTTTGTGTGTGCGGTTCGTTCAGCAGAGGAGCTCTTGACTTCGCGAATTTTGTGCGCATGGGAGGGCTGGAATGCCCTCCAGGTGTTTTTTGTGTGTGCGGTTCGTTCAGCAGAGGAGGTGTTGACTTGGCGAAATTTGGTTGCCGAGGGAACAGGTTACCTTGGTTTCCAGCCAGCCGTGACACTGTTGAACTCTTTGTGGGAGGAATGTGTCCGCGCGCTAGAATTGACAGAAAGGGTGGACTCGACCAGGGCGCATTCGTTTTTAGGTACACTGATCAGTTTTGAACCACGGATCGTGAGGGGGTACTAAATTTCCCGAAATGAACGAGCTGGACACCCCCTGAGCTATTTCGCCCCTGTCCTCGCACCACCTCCTGCTTCCCAAATTCCCGCTCACAACTCCCCATCCATCTCAAACATCTCAGCTCAAGCTCAAATAAATAAATCACTGCTCATTGGTAGCTCACCGTCTCCTATTCCTCACCTCAGCGTCTCTTCACGATTAACCAGCCCATTCGTAGTTTCTCTATCCGCAGCCGTTCCTGTGGTTCAATTCGGCGCGCGAGCATCGTCAAGGCGCGGCGCGCGGAAAACCGACGACAATGTCGTTCGATGTAGTCGATAACTCCAACGATTTCGCTCTCTCGTCGCAGTCTTCAATAATCTCCGCGTCGAATCTTCCGCACAGCCCCGTCGGAAAGTCAGGACCTGTCTTCGGCGAGCTGACTGCCGTCAACTGGCGGAAATGGGCGGCTAACCGGCTAAAGCAGACGGAGCAGCCGCAGCAGCCGTCTGAAGTTACCACTGCTCGCGCCGAGCAGAACTTCGCCGCGCGAAATATTGCCGGATTTCCACACTCGCCGCTAGTAGCCGATCCGTCAACTCACTTTCCGTCAGAAGACACGTCAGCAGCAGTCGTTAATCCGCTTACGCCTCATGCCCGCGAAGCTCGCGGAAGTTACGCTCCCAAAAATCACGGCACCTTCCAAACTGGCCAGAGCGCCGCCCCCCTGTGTAAGCGCACAGGCGAGGCGCTTTCTGGCTGCAGTGCCACGTGGCAGCCTCTCCTTCCAGGGCTACCGGATGACGTGGCGGAATTGTGCCTCATCCGGCTTCCGCGAGCGTTCCTACAGCAATGCAGGTACGGCATACGTGCGTGTGCCTGTGTGTGTGAGTGCGTGTGTTCGGTCGATCAGCCTTGAGTTTGGAATGAGTGGGCGATCATGTGTGCATGGATGGGTGGGTTGGTGGGTGGGTGCGTTTGTGAGAGGGTCCTGTTTCCGTTAGTTTGGTCCCACAATTGTTGCACCGTTGTTGAACCCGAGCTGCACCTTTGTTTTGGAAGGGAAGGGGACGATGATCGTTGCTGCATTACCTGCGCCTTCTTGCGCGTCTCCTCTCCCTCCTCCTCCCCCTTTCCCATCTCCTCTTCCCTCAAATCTGTCGTTTTCTTTGACGGAGTTGTTTCCAGGTCGCACACGCTGCCTGCGCGGTCGTTGCGTTTACTTTCTCCTTCCCTTATCCCTTCATTTCCCCTCCTGCCTCATTGTCTTTTCGCTCCAATCCCCTCATTCGTCCCCCACTGTCTCATCACCTTTTCCCTTATCCCCAGACAAGTGAACCGGGCATGGAAAGAGTTTCTAGACAGCCCGCGCTGCCTGCTCCTTCGAACAGCAGCCAATCGCCTCGAGCCGTGGCTGTTCGTCCGGGCAGTCGGGCAGCCAAGAAAACATTTCGAGTGGCACGCATTCGCAGAGAGCGCTGGATGGCAGAAGATCCCCCACCCACGTGGCACTGGCCAATGGGAAGCCTCGGGAGTGGGGTGTGTGGTCCTTGACAGGTGTCTCTACATGATTGGAGGAACAGGTTCTGACCGCAAAAATCCATTGGCTGACACTTTCAGGTGAGGGGCAAAGACAAGGTTTTGCACCAACCAGGTGTGATTTGGGCTCTTAACAAAAATCTGAGGCCATACCTGGCTTTCAAGTAAACACATTGCCCACCCATGTTAGTTGGTTTGGCAAGCGTGCAATGCGCGTAACGCCCTCCGTTCCTTTTTAACAGAGCTTGCTATCCATTTCGCTATTTGGTCTCTGAATGATTATGCCGTGACACCCTCCCCTCCCCCGTCTTTGCTTGTTTCTTCTTTTCCATTTTCCTTTGGCATTATTTCCTATGCGCTGTAGCACCCGGCATGCTTTGGACCGCTTTGCAAATATTTTAATATAATCGTCCCCCCACCCACCCCCGTCCCCCAATCTGTAATTTCATGTACGACCCTCAGACTGCCCGCTGGACACAGTTGGCCAACCTCATCACTCCGCGCAGTTTTTTTGGCTCCTGGGCTGCCCGTGGAAAAATAATAGTGGCAGGAGGCAATGCAGCAGAGCTCGAGGAGATAAAATCAGCTGAAGTCTACCAACCAGAGACTGACACGTGGCAGTCCATCTCACCGCTGCCTTTGGCGTTTTCCAGCTTTGGGGCGGCGTGTTTTGGTGGGACTCTCTTTCTGACGGAAGGGTGGCAGTGGCCGTTTCACTTCTCACCCCGTGGGTTCTCCTGTCCTCTTAATAAGCTCATCCAGGAAAGGGAAAGGGAGGGGCATACAGGGCCAAGGAGACATGGGGGTGCTTTTATTGGTCGGGGGCTGGGAGAAGGAGAGGGACGAGGAGGAGAGGGGGGAGGTGGAGGTGGAGGGGAAGCAAGCAGGGCAGGAGAAAACTTAGGACCCAAGGGCATGGGAGAGGGGCAGGGCAGGGCGGAGGGGCAAGGCGTGGGGCGGAGCGGCATTGCAGCAGTGTGGGAGCCGATGCCTGAAGGCATGGGAGAGGGGCAGGGCAGGGCGGAAGGGCAAGGCGTGGGGCGGAGTGGAGTTGCAGCAATGTGGGAGCCGATGCCAGAGGGCATGGCGGAGGGATGGACAGGCGTGAGTGCGGTGGTGCATGACACGCTTGTGACCCTGGTGCAGGAGGGGAAGAACCGCAGGTGCGTTCTAAAGCCATGCAAAGCGGTGGTGTGCGGTGCTGGTTGGTGGGATGAGAGGTGTGGTCCTGTACTGGTTAAGAGCGGGGACAGATGGGAGTGCGGTGGTGCATGACACGCTAGTGACTCTGGTGCAGGAGGGGAAGAACCGCAGGTGCGTGTTAGACAAACAAGGCGGTGGTGTGCGGTGCTGGCAGGTGGCATGAGAGGTGTGGTCTTATCTTGGTTGTCTGCATGGACAGGCATGGGTGCAGTGGAGCATGCCGCGCTCGACACTGTCGTGCAGGAGGGGCAGACCCGCAGGTGAGGGGTTGACTTTTGAGTCGACTCAAAAGTCAACATGCCACACTCGACACCGTCGTGCAGGAGGGGCAGACTCCACAGAAAGGTGATGGGTCGTTCACGAATCACATGGTCTTTTGTAGCAGACTGGCAGGTGAGGGGTGTAGCAGTCCTGCAAATCGTTCTACTCCTCTCACTGGGATTCCATCCTGTCCTCGCAGCAGTCCCATCTTTGTTATCCCCATCTCACTACTTCCCACACCCTCTCCCCTTTTCCCCTCCTCCTTACCCTTCTCCCCCATTCCCCTCCCCTTCCTCCTGTGGCCCCTTGCTGCCAGTCTTTTTTCCTACTGCCCGGAAATCGACAAGTGGCAGCAGGTCATTGGCCCTCCTTTGCCCCTCTTCCTACGCCCACCTCTGCGCATGGCTGCGTGCGGTAACAGTTGTCTTTTTGTGGTAGGCCGGGGTTTGGAGGTGGTGATGGGGAGGATAAGCGAGGAAAGCAGGCGGGGATTGTGCAGGAAGGGGAGGAGTTCTTTGGATGGGGAGCAGGAGGATTGGGAGAAAAACGGGAGTGAAAATTGTGAGGTTGAATTGCACCAGCTAGTTGAACCGAGGGAGCAAAGCTCAATGAACGATGCATACAAAATGCAAGAGCTCCGGGTCGAATGGTTTCAGCACGGGAGAGATTTGGCATTTTCCAAGCTTGTTCCGGATGCTCTTGCGGTGGTGGTGATGTAAAATATATGCAAGTGTCACATGGACTTATACCTCTGCGAACTCAGTCTATGTCGAGTATTTTGCGATTTGGTTGGGCGCCGCCGTGCCGTGCCGTGCCTAGCCTGGTTTGGTAAGGAATGCGGTTCGGAAGCCTACCTTCAGCTCCTCCTGAGGTATCCTGACGGCAAAAGAAGCCTCGAACCGACACGACAGTGCAAAATATTTTGGGGCTTGTGTCACCACCACATTTGCCCAGCAGCTTCTCGTGCCAGCTAGGGGCGTGTCGCGTCCCCCACACGCGTGTACTTTGTAAAGCATCTCCACTCCACAACCATACAGTTCGCCAAACTGCAGCCGACCGATTTGCCAGGAGTGTCACGGAAACGTCAACTTTCAACAATATCAACAAACTGCAAGCCGACAGACGCGCCTACAGCTGCTCGCATCCACCAATACTCAACGACGCAGACCTCACTACCCGTTGCCTCGTATTTTACTTTCTTGGACGCTGTGCTCTTTTGGGCAGCGTTTCAGGAACCTACGGGTTTGACACATCACGTACCAGTATTTCGTCTGCTACCACACCCACACCCACGCTGCCCGTGGCAATAGAATCAGAGCTCTGTCGAGCGGGGCAGCATTTCGGGCTGGGCTAGGTTCCCCCTTCGGCCTGGGCTTCCTCACCGCTCGGCAGTTTGATTGGAATTTGGAACCTAGCCCAGCCCGCTTCCTCAACCAGCTTCCTCACCGCCGCACCTCCTGCTACAGTACTTCCCTCCACGTCAGTTCAGTCACAAAAGTCTACCTTGGAGGACCTTCCGAAACGTCGCGGGCAGGCGAAATTGCGTGCGGAGCCACTCGTCCATCCACCTACGAAAATCTGAACCACTCCGGAAGGAGAGAAATCCGCGCTTCGACCAATCAGGCTCCGAACGTCAGTCTGTCAAACTGCAACTACAAAATCCTTCCGCATCTTCTTCCTCTCCATCAGAGATTTGCGGGTCTTCCATTTCATCCCACAGGTTCCCCCTCACTCATCCATTCCAGATAGGGATTCACCTTCATTCCTCTCCACATCACTTCTTGAGCCTTTGTCTCATTTCCGCACCTTACCCTAGTCTCCGCCGTCCATCTCCATCACCAACCGCACTCTCCGCCCACGCTCCACTGCCCATTCCGCATCACTCGCTACCATCGCAAAGAAACCACATCAACACCACTCCATCATGGGTGCTACTGACGCCGCTACCCAGCAGTCCGTTGCCGTTTCCGCCTCGGCATCCGAGCCTTGGGAAGACGCGATGCGGGCTGAGCTTGCCGCGTGGTTCCAAAATCCCGACTGGGTCGACGAGACGCCGTCAATGACGGTTTCCGTCGGATCTAACGCCCACTGTCAACTCGACGGAGTCGCGACCGTCGGCCTTCCCCCGGACACGGTCTTCTCCATAGTATGCGACCCGCACAACAGCCGCGTATTCAAGAACATTAAGTCTGTTAAGAACGAGCGGGTCGTTAGTGACAATAACGGGGTGAAGGAGCTCGAGATGGACATGGTATTCGCCTTCCAGCTGCCATTCTTTACAGGCACATTCGACGCGCACATGCGCATGGTGCACGATCGCCCGAACCGCAAAATGTCCTTCGAACTAGCGCGTCCCGGCCTCATGCGCAAGTTCGAGGGCTTCTGGCAGGTCGAGCCGCTCGTTGTCCCCGCTTCCGCCACTTCCGCCTCCGCTGCCTCCGCCACCTCCGCCACCTCCGCCCCTTCCACCATTTCCGCAACTTCCTCCGCTTCCGCCGATTCCGACACCGCTTCCGCTCCGTCCTCCCCGCTATCCGATACCTTCCATCCCGCCAGCGACTGGGACAGCAGCAGCGCCTGCAGCAGCCCGGAGCGCAACTTCGCCGCAGACTCCGCCGCAGATCTCGCTGCAAAGACGACGAAGACGAGCGCGACGACCCCGTCCGACGGCGCGCGCGTGGCGTCGCGGCTCGTGCTGCATCAGGTCGTTCAGCCGTCCGTTGCGCCGCCCGACCTTTTCAAGCGGTGCATCCACATCGTTCTGCAAATGGCTACTAAAGACGTCCTTAAAGTGTTCCAGCGCGAAGCCGCAACGATTAGGAACAGCAACGGGCAGGAGCAGGAGACGCAGGGAGGAGAGGAGAAGAAAAAGAAGAAGCAAGGCGCTGACGTTAAGGCCGCGGCTGTTGCGGGGGGCGTGGCCGGCGCGGTTGCCGGCGCCGTTGCGGGAGCTGCAGCTGGCGTCGCCGTCGCGAAGAATGCCGATTCCATCAGGCTCGCGTCGCGCGTGTGGGGGCTAGTGAAGGGCAAAGCTTAAGGCGATGAGAAGGGATCACAATGTTCGTGACATTCGCTTGAGAGTCTATGGCTGACACGGGCGAAGTGTGGCGACGCGAAGCAGAGTCGGCAGGCTAACAAGGCTTTAGTTCCTTGCTGCCGCTGCGGATTTTCTGGTTGCACGAAACGCGCGCCGACGCCATTTGAGAAACTGCTGGAGACTTGTGCTTCGAAGTTACTGGGCAGGTCTGAAGGCGGGCTAGGGTATCTACAGGTGTTGATAAAAAAGTGTGGGTAGTTAGCTGGGCTTGGTTTGGTTTGGTTTGGGCATAAGGTTGAGTAGGGTTCAATGTTTTGGGATGCCTCTCGACAGAATGGCACCCCAAACCTGTGAACCTTGACTTATAAACTTATGTAGTGTTTCCTAGCAGCTGTTGAGTTAACTTTTCTCCCAACACTATTACTCCAAAAAGCCCAGGGGTAGTTTGATAGAAGGATCATCAAATATAAATTTTGCCCAGGGGTACCACACCTCTCTATTCTGAGTGTTATCACACGACACCCTAAGTGTATATCCACGAGTTTATTGTACCACTACCCTTGACCTGAATTCAATAGCCAATCTCATGAGTCCTGTCATAGCTCCTAGCCCTTCCAACACTTGCCTTCCCTAAACCGCACTCCACCATTGCTGATCACTATCAGCCGCTCTCCACCGTTCTCAATTCGGCAATGGTTTAGGCTCATGGCAACATCACTTTTGGAGGGGTCGAGGAGGGAGAGCAGAGAACTAAAAGTCCTGCCAACCCCCTTGGTCATACCTCACCACCGCCCTCCACCACTCATGAGCGCTCTCCACCACTCTCCACCGCTCTCACCCCAAGGCAGCAAGAGCCGTGTTGGGGTGGTTGAGGCTTATGGCAACAGTGCAGTTGGAGGGGCCGAGGTGGGAGAGCAGGTGTGGGCCACCCGCAGATTGTACTTCTCCCCTCAACCCATGCTCCCATGCTCCCATGCTGCAATATCCTTACTCTAACCCATCCCTTATCACAAACCTCTCTCTGCCCAACCAACCCAAATACCAACGGTGCACCTTCTGCTGCTGCTCCTCCTGCTACTCCTCCTCCTCCCCCTCCTCCTCCTCCTGCTCCTGCAGCTGTCATCACCCTAGAGCAGCAAGCGCCTTGGTGAGGCGGTTAAGGCTCGTGGCGACAGCGCGGTTGGAGGGGTCTAAACGGGAGAGCAGAACCCACAGCTTGTACTTCTCTCAACCCACACTTCCCCATCCTTCCCCTAACACCCCTTATCCCCCACAGCTGCTGCTGTTGCTTCTGCTGCTGCTGCTCCCCCCACCCCATATCCCCCACTCCTCCTCCCCCTCCCCCTCCTCCTCCTGCTCCTGCTGCTGTCATCACCCTAGAGCAGCAAGCACGAGTCATGACTTTTGAGTCGACTCGAAAGTCACCTCCTCCTGCTCCTCCTCCTCCTCCTGCTCCTGCTGCTGTCATCAACCTAGAGCAGCAAGCGCCTTATTGAGGCGGTTAAGGCTCGTGGCGACAGCGCGGTTGGAGGGGTCGAGGCGGGAGAGCAGGCGCAGGTCAGCCACGCCCAGCTTGTACTTCTCCATCGCCTCGTACAGACATGCTCGCTGCATCAACACGGCCGTGTTCTCTGGCTCGAGCTCCAAGACCTGAAGGTTTGAAGGCACAAGGACAAGAGGCAGGAGTGGGTGGGGGTACTACAGGGAGAGAGCAGGCGCAGGTCAGCCACGCCCAGCTTGTACTTCTCCATCGCCTCGTACAGACATGCTCGTTGCATCAACACTGCTGTATTCTCGGTTCGAGCTCCAAGACCTGGGGTGATTTTTGAGGAGCCTAAAAAATCGTTCCAATACCTGGGGATTGAAAGGGCAGAAGTAGGACAGGAGTGGGCGAGGGGAATTGCAGGGAGAGCAAGCGCAGGTGAAGCACCCCCCGCTTGTACTTCTTCATTTCTTGTAACACGAAGCAACGGCTTGCTTCATTCCCCCAGCCTCCTTGTAGCACGACGCCGTGCAGTCAACAACGCCACCAGCACCCCCCCCCCCCCCCCCCCCCCCCCCCTCCCCTCTCCGCCTGCCCACCCAGGCAGCTCTCCAAGTCACCTTGCTGCACTCAATGCCAACTGCCCCACCCCTACGCATCCCCTGACCCCCCATTTCCACCCTCTACTCACCTTGCTGCAGTCAGCAACTGCCTTCGTCATCTCGCCAGCTTCCTTGTAGCACAACGCCCATGCAGTCAGTCAGAACCCTCCTGTCCTTCTGCAATCAATGCTGAGTGCCCCCTTAACCCCCTCCCATCTTACCTTGCTGCAGTCAGCAACTGCCTTCGTCATCTCGCCAGCTTCCTTGTAGCACAACGCCCATGCAGTCAGTCAGAACCCTCCTGTCCTTCTGCAATCAATGCTGAGTGCCCCCTTAACCCCCTCCCATCTTACCTTGCTGCAGTCAGCAACTGCCTTCGTCATCTCGCCAGCTTCCTTGTAGCACAACGCCCATGCAGTCAGTCAGAACCCTCCTGTCCTTCTGCAATCAATGCTGAGTGCCCCCTTAACCCCCTCCCATCTTACCTTGCTGCAGTCAGCAACTGCCTTTGTCATCTCGCCAGCTTCCTTGTAGCACAACGCCCATGCAGTCAGTCAGAACCCTCCTGTCCTTCTGCAATCAATGCTGAGTGCCCCCTTAACCCCCTCCCATCTTACCTTGCTGCAGTCAGCAACTGCCTTCGTCATCTCGCCCGCCTCCTTATAGCACGACGCGCGCGCAGACAACACCGCCACCAGCCACTTGATCACATTTGCGCACCCTCCCTCCCCCCCCTTCTTCCCCACTCACCTTGCTGCAGTTCTCTCCTTTTCCCCCGTTTTTTCTGAACCTTCCAACGCCACCCCACTCCTTACCTTGCTGCAGTCAGCAACTGCCTTCTTCATCCCGCCAGCCTCCTTGTAGCACGACGCCCGCGCACTCAGCACCGCCACCAGTGCCCCCCCGTCCGCCTCCCCCCCTCTCTCCGCCAGCTGCTCCGCCCACACCAGCCACTTGATTGCATCCGCACCCATGCACCTTCCCGTCCCCCTTCCCCTTCCCTCCTTCCCCCTCCCACCCCACACTCACCTTGATGCAGTTCTCTCCTTTGCCCCCCCTCCTTTTCCGCACCCTCCACCTCCCACACTCACCTTGGTACAGTCAGCAACTGCCTTCTTCATCTCGCCAGCCTCCTTGTAGCACGACGCCCGCGCACTCAGCACCGCCACCAGTCCCCCCCCGTCCGCCTGCCCCCCTCTCTCCGCCAGTTGTTCCGCCCACACCAGCCACTTGATTGCATCCGCGAATTGCCCCCCTTTGTAGAACTCCGTCCCCTTATTGAGCGCTGCGTTATAAGTCACTCCCGCTGGCGGGGGCCCGAGGCCTTCTAGCTCTACGGTTGTTTCTGTCGAGGCGGAAGCAGAAGCATCCCCGAAACTTCCCCAGTCGCCCGCGTCTTGATTCGCGAAATCAGTACCTGCCGCGCTCGCTCCAAAGAAACTGCTGCTGCTGTCACTGCTGGCCGCTGCGAAACCACCAGCAGCAGAACCAGCACCAGCACCAGCACCAGCAGCGGAACCAGCAGCAGTGGGCTTGGGATTGAAAAGCATGTCTACAAGCGGGTCGAATGACCCTGACGCAGCAGCAGATGGGTGGGTGCTGCTGGGGGGCTGCGAATTCCCAAAGTTGGATGAGAAGGCAGCAAACGGATCAGCAGCCGCAGCAGAAGCGGCAGAGGCAGCAGGAGCAGGAGCAGGAGGAGGAGCAGCAGAGGAGGCAGCGGCGCGTGGGGCGGGGAACGAAGCAGAGAAGTTTGCAAACGGGTCTGCTGCAGACGCGGATGAGACTCTGGATCCCCCCCCTGCCATGCCACCACCGCTGCTGCTGCTGCTGCTACTGTTCATGTTGCTGGTGTTACCACCACCGCTGCCGCTGCTGCTGGTGGCAGTGGCGAAAGGGTCGGGCCAGGAAGCAGCAAAAGGATCGGCAGAAACGGCAGAGGCAGCAGATGGGGCAGAGGCACGCAGTGAAGGACCTCCCACACCGCCCCTCATGGGCTGACCGCCTATCCCACCACCTAATCCTCCACCGCCACCATTACCAATCCCACCACCACTGCCAATCCCACCACCTAATCCTCCACCGCCACCACTGCCAATCCCACCACCACCGCTGCCACCACCACCACTACCAATCCCACCACCACCACCCATTCCGAATCCCCCCCCTGCCGAACCTGCTCCTGAGGCACCTGCTTTGGGAACGGAGCTTCGTAGATCGCCCATACCAAACGGATCAAACCCTCCCCCTCCCCCTCCCCCTCCGCCTCCCCCTCCCCCTCCCCCTCCCCCTCCCCACCCGCCTCCGCTTCCCCCACCAGCCGCCCCAACCGCGCCAGCAGCACCTTCGCCGAATCTACCTCCCCCAGACGCCCCTCCCGCGCTGTCCCTAGACGCGCCATACGCTGACGTGGACGATGACGTGGACGACGCCCCGGGCCGCGCGGAGGCAGTGGCGCTGCTCCACAGGCTCGCGAACACGTCATCCGCCTTGCTGGCAGCTGCAGCTGCTGACGCTGACGCACCAGATGAGGACAGGGAGGAGTTTAGAGGCTTGGCATTCATTCCCCCCATTCCCATTCCCATCCCCCCATATCCGCTCCCCCCGCTCCCCCCGCTGCTTATCCCGGACTGCCCCAGAGGCACCCAGCTAGGCCCCCCTCCGCTTCCCCCTTGCCTCTGCGACTGCCCCTGCGCCTGCGCGCCTGGGGCGCTTTGTGCATAGGAGCTGGCAGGGGGCGCGCGCGCTGCTCCCCCTCCGCCTCCGCCTGTGGACCACGAGGTGGCGCCCTGCGCGTACCCGCCCCCCGTGCCCGGTCGCCCTCCGCCACCCTGAGCGGAAGGGGGAAAGATTGGGCGGAGGGTGCGGAGGGGGGCGGAAGGGGGCAGAGGTGGCGGGGGGAGGCGGGCGGGAGGCGGAGGGGGGCGGAGGGGGTGGGAGGAGCGCGGAGGGGGGCGGAGAGCAGGAGAATCGGGGTGAGCGGAACAGGTGAGATGCTAGAAGACGGGCGATTGCTGCCGTCATTCTCCCTTTGAGACAACATTTTTTAGGCGCCCCAAAAATCGCTCCCCACTCCCCACTATTCATTGTTCTGCGTCTTTTCTGCATCTTCTCTGCATCTTCTCTGCATCTTTTCTGCATCTTTTCTGCATCTTTTCTGCATCGTTTTGGTTAAAATGCATCACTGGCAGCGCTGGGCTCGCTTGAGAAGGCTTCAAACCTTTTTCCTTTTTTCTCCCCACCTCCCCCCCCCCCCCCCCTGGCAATTCTGCATTGTCCTGATTCACCAAACAGACGCTGGACAACTGCAGCTGATGGTGGTGGTTCTGGTTACCAGTTTCCGTATTACCAGTAACCGGGTTACTGACTTGCTCTGCGGTTGTCTGACTCACCAAACTACCGCCGAACTTCTGGTCCCTGAGACTGCCGCTTGCCGCTCCCAATGATGATGGGGGGAGGGAGAGGGGGGGGTGGTGTGGGATTCCGCAATGATTTGACTCACCAAGCCTCCGCCGAGCTTCTGGTCCTTGAGACTGCCGGTTGCCGCTCCCAACCGACCTCCGCCCCCTCCAATGCCCGATCCAGATGACACCCCCAGGTCGAAGTCGAATTGGAAATTCTGAAACGCACATGTGGGGAGTGAGATGGACGGTTGCGATTAAAAAAAAAATCGCACAAAAATCGCTCCCTAGCGACCTCCCCCCCACTCCAATGCCCCATCCAGACGGCACTCCCAGGTCAAAGTCGAATTGGAAATTCTGACAAGCGAATTCAGAGTGGGATCGAAGGTTGTGAGTGGTAAGCGGAACCGATTTTTGGGTCGACTAATAAAAACGGGGGGGGGTGAATAGACGAAGGGACGTGAATCGACGGAAGAGATTATGTGAGACCTGGGTACATAGCGACCGTCCTGCATACTTGGTAACTCGCGCATCGCGTAAGCAAATCGCAATGAGAGCATTAACCAGGGTGTAAGCGTACGCGGTATGTTATGATTCGGCTCAAGATTTAGAAATGACCATCTATGTACCGCATGGACTTAGTCATATTTGGATAACAGGGATTTCCATACGATTGGTCTTTTTTTAGATAAATGGCAACCGTCGGTGCAAATTTTAGACAGTTGAGAAACCACCGACTGTCGGCAGCTTGAAACGGCTTTCCACCTAAACGAGGCGACTTTTGAATGACTCAAAAGTCAGCTGAAATGAGCGTCGCACGTGCGCACCTTGAAAGTCGTCGCCGCATTGACCATGTTGGCCTTGCGACTGTCGTTCGCACCGCCGTTCATGCCGGCAACCACGCACCGTTCACCGCCGCCTGAGCCCTAGTACCAGGCGACCAAGCACTGCCCTTCTCAACCAGTTTCAACTGGTCTCAACCGGTCTCAACCTAGAGGACGTAGAGGAAACTAGAAGGTGTCGGCAACTAAGCACGGTCCGCCTTAATCTCTGGTGTCAAGCAGCTAAGGACAACTTCGATGATTTAGAGGAGGCGACACTCTGCAGGAACCTAAGCACCGTCGATGTCGACCGCAGCCGAAACAAAACAGATTCACGCTAACAATGGGACAAGCCACCGCAGAATGGTAGTACCATAAAGAGACGATCGCTCCTGCTTCCGTGAATGGTAGGTAGGTACTAAGGCCTGTCCTAAAATGGTAGAAAATGAGTGGGAAGCAATTTGTAGAGTGCAGGATTCCACTCTCCAAATTGAGTCTGCTCGCCACACACGGCGAAGATTTTGGCGACTTGACGGTAACCACGCCGTTCGCTCGTCACCCAGGTTTGGTCCTCAGTGTGTGTGACTCTGTCGAAATCGGTAAGCGCGACGGACCCCGACGGTAGGTTGGCAATAGCGAGGAGCTTACAACGAACGGGTAATCGAACCGACGACTGTGTACACGGTATGATGTGCTACTAGAGAGATTTGTTTGACAATGTTTGTGCAGGTGTAGACATACATGTGAGAGGTGAAGCTTGCTAGAGCACATTTTGTTTTATCCCAATTCCACTTCGTGACTAGAAGCAGGGCCCACGATATCAAGGCAAATCATCCTGATTACCCTGATTTCAGGATGCGGTTTTAAATATGCCCTGTGATGTTATTACTAAAGGATCGTAGTGGATAGGATAAAGTTGCCAAGTGTAAGGGAGAGAACTGTGAAGTCTCTGTAATGACCTTGTCAATGAATTGAAAGAGAACAAGATGATTATAAGATAGAGGTACAAGAATATAAATAGCAAACCTAGCTAGCCATGTACTCTGAGGGGTACATTCCCTTATTAACTGAATTACATTGCTACAGTAACCCGCGACTATTGCTATTCTAGACAGTTACCGTGTTGCACTTCGCAACTGCCTTGTGCGGTTACTGGGCAGTCAAGGGTCACGACCGTTAACTGTCTTCGACTGTTGACCTTCGGGTGACCCTCGACCTTCCGCGTGCTCTATATGAGCTCATGCGGTACTGGTACAAGCATCTGCTTCGCTATGAGGAGACTCGACAGTGGAGAGCCTTCGGGAATGCTTGTAATAACCTTTCGGTTATTCCAACACTCCCCTTCATTCCTGAAGGTGAGCCACGTGGGATTTCTTGGTGATCCCGCAAAGGTTGGCGCAGTGCTGGAACTGTTGACGTGGCAGTTTCTTTGTCAGGAAGTCGGCTGCCATGTCACCAGTCGGGCAGTACGTGAGTTTGACCTTGCCTTTGTCGATTTCGTCATTGACGAAGAGGTAGCGAAGGGCGATGTGTTTCGTGCGGTTCACGAAGCCGGGTTTGTTCGCGATCTTGATCGCGCTCTGGTTGTCGCAGAGTAACGTTAAGTGTCCGTTCATCGTTACTTTCGCTTCCTGCAGGAGCTCCATCAGGTACAATCCTTCGCGAACAGCTGCGCTGGCGGCGATGAATTCTGCTTCGGCTGACGAAAGGGCGATGAGTTCCTGCTTCTGAGAGTTCCATGAGATAAGCCCAGCACGTTGGAGTTGAAAAATGAATCCTGTGCGGGAGCGTCTGTTGTCAACATCTCCCGCATGGTCAGCGTCTACATAGCCGTGCAGCTGCAGAGTAGCCGTTAAGTTAGCTTCGTAGGTGAGGCCGACGTCGGGAGTAGAGATGAAGTATTGAAGTGCGCGGTGTAGATCCTGTAGATTCGCCCCTTCAGGTCGCTTCATGTACTGAGCGAGCTGGCTTGCGACGTAGGAGAGGTCGGGCCGGCACGTGACGGCGGCGAACAGGAGGCACCCGAGCTGCTGCTGATAGAGCCGATGATCCTCGAGAGAGAGAGGCGTGGTGTCTGGTTCGTGGTTAGGAGGAGGAGTGCGAAAGGGGGTGGAGAGGTTGATGGGTGCGATGCCAAATTTCTTCGCGAGTGTCTCGGCATATTTGGCGGCGGAGATGTGAATGGAGGAGGCAGACTGGGTGATGTTGAGCCCCAGGAATTGAGTGACGTCGTGGTTGACAGTGACTTCAAGCTGCTCCTTAATATCCGCTTCGAACTGGTCCAGTAGCTCCGTGTCGTCGCCGGTGTAGAGGAGATCGTCGACGTAGGCAACGAGAAGGATAAATTTGCCGCGCGACTCCTTCATGTACATGCCGAGGTCGTGTGGCAGCTGTTGGAAGCCGAGCTTCGTGAGCACGGTGTGCAGGTACTGTTGCCACAGGCGAGGTGCTTGTTTTATCCCGTAGAGGGATTTCTGGAGCAGGCAGACGGCGCCGTCGTTCTCTTCGAAGGCGTGCGGCTGTTCGACGAAGATGATTGCGTCGACCGGAGGGTACAAGAATGCACTGCCAACATCGATTTGGCGGAATGGGCGCTGTTTGACGGCTGCGATGCAGATGAGGATTCGCACGGAGGTGTGCCGTCCGACTGGTGCGTAGGTGAGATCGAAATCCACCAAGTGAGTTTGCTCGAACCCGCGCACCACCCATCGTGCTTTGTATTTGTCGATGGAGCCGTCCGCTAGTGTTTTGATGCGAAACACCCATTTCCCGCTGAGAATTTTCCTCCCCTTCGCAGAAGTCCGGGGAACAAGCTTCCAGGTGCCACGGCTTTTGAGCGATGCGATCTCCTTGGCCATGGCTGCCTTCCACTTCTCACTGTCGGGGCCGGAGAGAGCTTGGCGAACGGTAGTGGGTTCCTTGGGGGAGGTGTGGCGAACAGCGACGGCGAGCCCAAGGATCCGGAGACCAGTTTCGTTGGTCTTTTCGTAGTGCAGCCGATCGTAGTCGTGGAAGCTGGTTACTTCGACCACGTCGTTGTCACTTTCGTTGCCAGGGCGGATGGAGTCCTGCGAGGTGTTTGGTGGTGGTAACTCGGCATCTGGTGACTGGCGGGCGTCGCTGTTGATGTTATGGGCTTGGCGAGTTGTATCATCAGGATCAGGTTGGTGTAGAGGGATGAAAGTTGGAGTCTGGAACGGGCTTGTAAGGGGGATGTTGGGTGCGCTGTCAAATTGGGTAACATTTGCTGCATCCACATCTTCCGCCAGGTCAGCTTCATTGTGTGGAGTTGCGAAGCTGCGGTGTCCCTCGAAAACCCTTTGCGGTGCCCTGTCAGCTTCGCGGTGTTCGTTGAACAGTGGCAGAGTCAGCTTCTCGTAGAAGATGCAGTCACGTGATTTCGTCACTTCGTGTGTCGCGTAGTCCAGCACGGTCCACGCCTTGAATTCCTTTTCGATCCCGAGGTGGACGCCCCAGCGAGCCCGGTCAGCAAATTTTCCGGTCCTTGCTGTGTGTGGCCTGTACTGTACCATGCAGCCAAACACCCGAAGCAGACGCGTGTCTGCCTTTCTGCCCGTCCACGCCCTGTAGGGGGAGTTGTTGTTCTCGAGGCTTCGGGATGACAGCAAGTTGTGCAGTCGGACTGCATGGTTCATGGCGAACGGCCAGTAACGAGTTGGGATGGCCGACTGCTTCATCAGGGCCCTCATCCTGGTGGCAAGGCTCCTGTTTGTCCGTTCTGCTACTCCTTGCTGCTCGTGAGCGTAGGGCAGGGACACCAGATGTTCAATCCCTTTCTGCCTGAAGAGCTCCTTGAACTCGTCTGAGAAGAACTCCAGAGCTCCGTCCGTCTGCCAACTCTTCAGCTTAAGTCCCGATTGTCGTTCAGCCCGCTTCATCCACGCGATGAAGCATTCGAAAGCGAGTGATCTGCAGTCGGTATTGACAACCCAGATGTGGCGAGTGCTTGCGTCGATGAAGGTCAGCGTGTAGTATTCGCCATCGAGTCCTTCCTCCGTCAAGCACATAAAGTCGCTGTAGACCTTCTCAAGTGGTTTGTAGCGTTCGTAGCCGGGCGGCAAGTCGGGGAAAGGCTTGTGGGCGAGCGACGCGGCAGGACACACTGTGCACGGCGGGTCTTCGGGGTCTGCGGTGAGGGAACCTCCGCGGGGAAGGAGCAGTGCTCCGTCGTCGAGGACGCCACCCCGCAGAGATTTCTCGAGTGTTGTGTGAGAGGGGTGCCCGAGCCGTTGATGCCAAATTTCCGGTTCCGCACGATAGCCGACTGTTTTCTGATAGTATTTATGTCTTGCTGCTTCGTCGTTTGCCTCCCCTTCAGGTCCTGCATCGGCGGCGTCGTCGGTGTCGGCGGCGAACGCGTGAATTGACTTTCGTTCCAGAAGCGCGTGAGGAATACCAATGATGTCGTCGGTGTCGCCGGCGTCGACTTGGTCTCCAGTAACAAGCAGGCACTGATTGGGCCAGTCGCGAACTGGTAGTCCCTTCATGGGAATTCGGAAGTAACTATACTCGGCCCCGATGACTTCAATCTCCTGGGGACCTTGTTCTAGCGGCGGCGGTTCTTCGGTAGGTTCCGGTAGTTCAGCTGCTTTGCCGAAAAGTTCGTAAGTCACTTCTTCTTTTGACTCCTCTTGCATTGGTTCTGGTGTGTCAGGAGCATATTGATCAGGGAGAGGAGGTCCGCCCTAGCTGGTGCCGCGCGTTGCCCAATAGGGATCGATTGTCGCGGTTTCTGCTGAGGGGAGTCCCGGAGCTTCGGGATAGGCAGGAGCAGCTTGCTCCCATCCTCCTTCGCTTGTCGAGGTTCCCCAGCCGCCTCCGGTTCCTCCGGTTCCCCAGCCTCCAGTTCCCCAGTCGCCTCTGGTGGCAGCGCCGGCATCTGTTGGAGCAGTGGCGGTGCCTTCGGATGCCGAGATAGTGTCCTGTCCTTCTGCCGCTGCTTCTTCTGGCGTCAGGACTTCTCCCAAGGGACCGAGTGCAGGGCCGGGACTACCTGATCGAGTTCCAGTCTT